TCTGGATGAAACAATTCCATTTATTTTTTGCAAGGGGTGTCTCCCTTTCCTGGGGAAAATTCTGATATGTCAAAACCTGAAGCCATCAGTTACACCTTCTCAAACTCACTTCCTGCAAAGTCTAAAACTTTTGTGGAAGAGGTTTTTTTTCTGATGAGCTCAAATCACAAAGACAGGTCGAAAACAAAGACGAACTTAAAATGAACTCCCAAGGCTAAATAGCACTGGATTTTTGGAACGTTTATCTCCAGTAAGAACAAACCGTCAGGCTGACTGCAGGGTGAGCTAGAAGACCTTGACCAAGGCCACAGTGTTCATGTGTGTTGCCTTTTAAAATTCATTGTAAAGCCTCACACCAGCACCTGGAGCCATTAGCACTTTGGAAAACTGAAACTGAGATGATTCAGTGAATTTACTGAAGAAATCTTTCTACTAAGACACTACATACAAACATTCCATGTCCCTTTCTCAAGTCCTGGCTGGCCCATAACAATAGGATCAGCCTTTCTCATTTGCTCCATTTACTGCACACTAGTAACTTATCTCCTAACATTTAGATTAAAAAAGAAAAAAAATCTCTAAGTCAAGCTAAGGTAGGAAAATGTAAGAGTAGCTTTGCCTGCGGGAACTGATACAGATGGATATATGCACGTGTCTGTCCAGGACATCCTGTCTGCATATCTGTACCCATCTTTGGGCTTTTTGTTCATCTTTATTACATTTGTACAGTCATGTCAACATCTTGCAAGTGATACTCGTTATTTTTTGTACCAATTGATTTCAGAAATGCAGTGAAAGACACAGACGCAAAACAAATAAGATTAAATGCTTCAAAAACATAATAAATTAAGAAGAGCAAGTCTAGCTGGTAACGTGGCCTTGATAGTAGGGTGTAAAGGACATAGAGTTAAAGGATTACAGGTGACTCCGACTTGTTCAACAGCTTCCCTTCTTTCTGAGTAGCGCGGAGGCACAAGAGGAACAGGGTGGACTATTCAGCTTATCAGCATGACAGGAGCAACAGAAGAGAAAGATGAGGCTATTGGGTTGGAGAAGATTTGGGGAACCAGAATTTAAATAAGCCCCCTCCTCCAGCCCATAGTGAATCAGCTCAGACCGTTCTGCTGGCATCAACATCCAACAGTGACACTGTCCTGCCAGAGCCATCACAAACACAGTTTGAACAGTTTGAACCTTCCACAAAGATACAGTTCCACATTTTAAAATGTTTCCTAAGATCATTTTCCTGTTCTGCAGTAGGCTCCACCAAGCAAACTTCCCCTCCAACTCAGCTACAGCTTCCCTCCTTGGTGAAGTTTTAATAGTGTGAAGATCTTGAGCATGTCTTGCCAGCTCACAAAGGCTTTCTTTGTTCCCTCTGTGTGAACTATATGGTTGGACTTTCTGTAAACTGCACAATAGCTTCTCTGCCTTTCTTATATTTTGTAGCCATATAAATGAAGGATAGCCCAACAGAGAGCTTTGGTTTGTTTTGTTTGCCTTCCTAACAATTGCTTCACTTGATTATTTGCTATTCCAGTTTCATTCAGATCAGCAGAAATGAGGTTTATTTCAGGAGAGGAAAGTCTGCTGTAACAATTCTGATTTTAGTACTGCAACAAATCATTTAACTTAAGGAGTGGAAGGTAAAAATGTTCTATGGCCTAGAGAAGCAAAAAGAGCAAAAGGAATCCTACTTTTAATAAGAATAGTCATAAAGAAGAAAAATCTCTCCTCCCTGATGGAAGGGTCCTGTCGGCTTTGAATAGGTTGAAACCAGTACCACAATCTGTGAAAATTCTCTTTATAGCCAATACCTCTAGAATATAATAGGATTTCTCAATAGAACATTGTGAATCATCATAAAGAACATTACAGCAAGAATATTGTTCTACAGTAACTCGGTGGCAGCAGCAGAGAAAGATGGCATTTCCCCTGCTCAACAAGATAATCTCGTAAGCTCCAGTTCAGAGTGATTCAAGAGAGCTTCAGTACCAGGTTACACGTATGTCATTACACATAGGCAGGGGCAAATTCACTCCCTGCCCTTTCTGGGCCAAATTCAAGGGACCAGATCTGGAGAGGAGAACTACACTTTTTACATTTACTGCTTTGTTACCAATCCCAAATCAAGACTGTGTTAGCACAAGTATCAGCCCTGTTTTCCTGCAAATCTCAGCAGCATTAAATGGGTATGCTTTGTACACATAGCACTAGTGTAATAAGTGAAAGGATTGTTTATCTGTTCATTTTTAGCAAATGTTCTTGTATTTATCCTGGATTCTTGGAGGATTAGGAGCAAGCTCCGGCTAACTTCAGGCTGCATTTCTGACAGCTGGATCACAGCACAGACTCATTGCTTGGATGCCAGTAATACACTGCTAGAGTTTCATCAGTAACATTTGAACTTGTCATCAACGTACATCTTACAGAAAATTGCTTTTATTTTTACAAAAGAAGAAACAGCTTGCCTGAGCTCTTGCGTCACACAAAAGGGAATCGACCCAGGCTCCTTCTTCCCTTTGCTGAACCAAGAGGCAGGCTCAGCAGGTGTCTCTGCACCAGCTGAGTCACGCTGGCGGCTCTCAGGACAGAAGCAGCCTGGAGACAACAGCAATAGCAGTAAAAGATAAAAAAGGCTGGCAGGTCCTGAAAGAGGTCTTCTCACCCCAGGTTGCAGGGTCTCACCTCAATCATCTCCAGGACTATTGGGCACCTCCCACTTCACAAACCAATGTTTTACCTTGTCCAGACCAGCCAGTAAACATCATTACTGGAAGGAGATATTGAAGGCCAAACTTCCCCCTTTCAGATAACCCTAACAGCAACTGTTCACTTGTGAGAAGGAAACACTTTTCCAGACATGGATGCCTCGACTGTTGAGAGCAAACATTCGTGGCAAGAAGGCATGGGTAGAAAGGATCTACATGTATTCATTTTTTCAGGGTCTAAAGGCAAGAGGCGAAGCTGAGCAGTTCATCCCCTCAGCAATGGTAGGGTGTTATCTCTTTAGAGCATACACCCATTGTGTCCCCTCGGCTAATTGATATACCAAAGTGCTGTCCCTATAGGGCACATACTCCTGTGTTAATGTAACACACAAAGCCAATTAAATGCCTGATTGGATGAAGTGGTCACAGTCAAGGACCGTGCCAGCCAGCCAGTCAGGATTCAAGTTTTCCAAACATCATTAAGTTATGTGCGGTAATCCCCCTCTAAAAGATTAGGCATTTAACCTATTACTGCTGTTTCTGAGGAGATACAGAAAATCTCCTGTGCTTGGTGGGAGACCAAGCTGAACGGTGCAATGAGCACCGCTCGCCCTGCTCTGGCCTCGGAGGCGCAGCGCGCTGGCTGCACGCAGCCATCCAACACATTTCACCGCATCTTCCAGGCGGTTCGAATTGATCAGAATGGGGCAGTGTGTGGTGCTTCAAAGGCAAAACTAAAGACTTTGCAGAAAAGACAGTGTTTGAGATGCCTCCATCTGCCTCCCCCCTTTTTGCAGTGAAAAGAGATGTTAGTGAGGGAAAACTGCTTACCGCGGCACTGACTGATCGCCCTTAGCCAGGGATGCTATGTATTACTTTGAAATACAGATTTTGTTGAATTTCCAACATAGTGTTGAGAATTGCAATGCTTTCTTACCCCAAGAGAGGTGTGAAGATGATTTCACCACTACTTTGGGAAAAAGGAGGAATAATGGTCATTTGACAGATGTGGCTTCCCTCATTGTACAGCTTCAATGGGGTTTGCAACCACTCACATCCTTAAGTGTTTAAAGCCAGTAGAGAAACTCCAGTGCTTGGCACTCAATTGCCATTTAAAAGCCAAGCTGGGACAAGATGTCATATTTCACAGCTGACTACACGCTGGAGATGAGGATCATCCATGGTTAATATCTAATTAGTAGTTAAATTAATATTGACTATCAATGGTAAATTGTAATGATTTTTTAGGTGAAAATAAATATGAAATGTCATAATGAAGTCCCAGTATACTACTATGATAATTAAACACACTTTGAAATCTTATCCTGATAGGAAAATCTCCTGCTGTGCCTTAGCACTAGCAACATCCCTGGGTTGGGGTGGCGGGGGGGGGGACGGGGAAAGGGCTGGGGGGAAACGTGCAGCGTATTAGCAAAGAGAAGATCTCTCTGTGTGAGGCAGGGCTCCCAGGGAAAATCTGCGCGTACTCTTCTGCCCCCTCCACTCACTGTTTCACCTGCAAACGTAATATTACAAGGCTTTAGGGATGTAAGGGCTGGCATGAAATTTCATGTTTATTTTGCTCTTATAGCTGCATGCATAACAGTATAAAGCCAGATGACCAGTTACTTGTTTGATACAGAGATGATGGTCACAAATCAAAGCTCACATTTATGCAAATATGATTTGAAAATCAGGCCTAGCACTTCAACAGTAATCGAGATTTATTTCCAGAATATAGTATTAGCCTTGAACCAAGTCCTCCTGGAAAAACCAATATGTTTGCAGAATTTATTTGCTGGGTGGCAGCATTTTCTGCTGGGAGAAGGTGAAGGAAAGAGTTTCCCCCTCCCTCTCACCCTGATGCGTATGTGCTTGAGAGCAAGAAACACGATTAGTATTGGGAATGATGGAGTGGTGCTGAGGGCTCTAACCAACAAGCTCTTGAAAGTCCTGCTGCAGCCATTTGAGACATTGCGGTCCCCAGCTGCTCACCTCTGTCCTCTGCCGGGGCTACCTTCCCTTTGCAAAGCGCACAGAAGAGAGGCTATGTGCGCACTTAGACGCTCCAGCTTACTGGCTCACGAGGAGGTGGGATGAGCGCAAAGTGGAAGAGGGGATGCGCAGGCACATGTCCTGTCCTAATGACTCTGCACAAAGGCAGCAAATTGCACTGGGAAGGGGGCAACATCTCAGCTGCTGCAGTGATTTGCTCAGCGAGCACGTCAAAACCTTGAGCAAGAATGTCATGAGTCCAGAAGCTGTAACTCTTCTCCTTCTCCCTTCCAGCTTGCTGCATTAGAGAGGCAAGTGTTTGACTTCCTGGGGTACCAGTGGGCCCCTATTCTAGCCAACTTCCTCCACATCATCATTGTCATCCTTGGCCTGTTCGGCACTATTCAATATAGACCTCGCTACATAGTAGTGGTAAGTACCATCTGTTTTAAGAATCAGAGCCGCTGACAGCCATTCACAGCCTCTGCTCTGGTGGGATATGGCAAGTGATGAGGAAGTGAGCAAAGCCCTTTGGAAAGTGGGCACAAGCATTGCACACAATTTTAGCAGGAGGTGTCTGGCTGTGCTGAGGAACACATTGTTCAGTATGCTGCATTTTTGCTATACTTACTCAAAACTTGGAAGACTTCAGATATTTAATACTGGTACCAAAGTAACACCTAGATGCTATACAACGGGGAGGGAGAACTAGATCCTGAACAAACACATAGCAAAAGCTCTTCCACTTCCTCCGGGCTTCTGGCACTGCATCTCTTACCAGGCAAGGGACCTCCTGCATATGGGAAAGTGCTCTGACAGTAGAGGAGCAGCATGATCATTGGGTTTGCCTACACATACATCACTTGTCCTTGTAGCATGTGTGCTCTTTACAGCAGAAGGTGTCCCTATTTTGGTGCAACACTCCGTAGGCTAACTATTATTGAAAAATTATATTTTGCATGTCTGGTGGTAGCATTCCTAAATGGAAGAGCCCTCTAGATTCAGCCAAAGCCCCGAATAGTTTTCTGTTCCCCTAACTTTTCTCCCTGCCTGTCCTCCAGATCAGACACTATCATCCCATCAAGCTGAGCATGGCTCCCCTCACAGTCCTCCTCCTCCCCTCCTCTCTGTCCTAATGAACAAAACAGCTCTTTCCATTCCAGCTTCCCTCTTCAGCCTGCCCAGAGAGGGAACAGGCCTCCAAAGGGGAAACCTCTGCATAACTCTATTGAACCAGGCACTGTGATTTACCTCAGTTGCTAGATGCCAGCCTGTCTTAGAGACTAAACTCATTCAGCTGAAAGATGCCGCTTAGGAACTTGGCCCCAGTGCTGCAGGCATGTCACGCTGCCCTGCAGCCACTCGGCTCCTGGATTTAGGAAGCAGATCGGTATATTCTGCTCACAAGAGAAACATGGGGATGTTGAAACTCAGGCTGGAAAAAAAAAACAACAGAGGAAGAGAGAGTGACTACAATGCTAACTCTGGGCATTTAAGTGTCCCCAGCTGGATCACATATATATGAGCTAATTGCGGTGACTTCCTAATGTTTATTGCTTCTCTCTCCCATTCCCTTTCTAGTATGCCATCTGGACTGCAGTTTGGGTCACCTGGAACATCTTCATCATCTGCTTTTACTTAGAAGTGGGAGGACTCTCAAAGGTGAGTAGGAGTTTTATGGATGAGTTTACAGCCTTTACATCAAAGGGAATAGAGCTTAGCTGTGAGGGAAGGTAGTGATTGGCAGGCTGCTTTGTGCTTAAAAGTGAGAGGCAGGGGGCTAGCTGGGAGCAGGTCTTGCCTTCTTGCATATGGAGGGGGCTGACTTCCTTGGGGATGGAGGAGTAGTGCTTACTGTCTGGTAAAAATAGGGGGAGGCAAGTATTTCTGATTTCTGGAGTCCTTCACCAGTCAGCATAGCTAATGGCTGGAATAAGCCCTGTCTGTCATGGGGGATAAAGTATATTTGCTTTTAAAGGTAAGAGCTAGCCTGGTGGTAGAACTATCCTGAAGGGAGATGGGGTTTGAGGGTTAATTTCCAGTCATTATTCAGTGGTGGCTGAGGAAGGGTACAAGCTAACTAGACTATGGCTGATCCCCCCCTGTGATAACACCTTTAAAAGAAGGTGTGTGACTTGGATGGGAAGGCCCTCAGGGTGGGAGTTAATGTTCTCTCTAACAACCTGTCCCAGGGAAGAGCTGCAGCTGGGGGCTCTGGCCCAGACCAAGTACCTTCCTGTAACTCCCTCATTGACCTTCTCTTACTATTTTTCTCTCTCCCACCCTTGCCAAAGACCTAGCACAGCTGAGTAGCAGGGATAGGTGTCTGATTGTGGCTGCCCCAGGCAAAATGTTTCCTATCGCACCTTTTGGAAAGGATCCTCTTCCTAGGTTGAACAAGAGAACAAACCAGAGGGACCTTTTGATGGCTGGCACATCTCCTTCCAATGCTGCCTCGGAAGAGATGCAGCTTTCCTGACCTTCTGTAATAACAGTGGTAGTTACCTTGGCCCTTATCTAGGGATGTTGTGAGTTAATATTTGTGAAGCATTTTGAAGATGAGAAGCTAAGTATTGCTGTCTGCTTAATGAGGGTGAGTCAAAAATAATAATAATTATGGGAGGTATGCCCTAAATTACGCCTGGGCTGTAAGCAATGATTTACTAAGTGTTGCTGTAGCTTAGCAGACTTAGAGTGATTATGGGATACAGGTTCACTTCAGAACACTCTATATCTGGCCTAAATTCCCAGGTCATATGTCTAAGTTGCATTCTTAATTGGAACTGCACTAAGCTTTGTTTTTGTTTTTTTAATCAAGCTTACAGTAAGTTGTGAATGACAGCATAAATCTTTTGCAGATAAGAAAATTTAACTTCTTAATTAATCTCAATTGTCCATCACAAGTATCCTTAGACACTTTGAGGTAGTTCTTGCCTAAAACAGGGGTGATTATTGGTCTAAAAGCTCAGCCTGAGATGATCTCAGCATTGGCTATAACCAACTTAAATAGTTAAATAGGATTTTTTTTTTAAAAAAAAAGCTCCCTTCTGAGGAGAAACTATTGGCTTGATAAACTGCTCTGGGAGCTTCCCTGACAGCCAGTGTTTGCTTCCAGATAGCCTGTTTCTTGTGTTTGCTAATCCCAACCTGCCCTGCATCACGTGGGGTTGCTGTTCTGCAGTTCAAACAGAGCACAGTAAATTCCACTTTCTCCACTCCAGAGGAGCCTCATCTCATAACCTTGCTGCGTTGTGGCTCATTCCAGCAAAGCCAGCACATGGAGAATCTTTATTTAGCCTACAGGATGACTCTTGTGGTTGGGGACTTTTTTAATAGGAATGGGCTACAGGATATGTTATTGTCTCAGTGGCCTTCCCTCTAGAGATGTAATGAAAAATTCATGCTGCTAGTTCGGTGGCAACTGGCAAAAATAATAAAATAATTGTGCTGGTTCTGTGACAGAGTGAAATCATTCTGCAGCCTTGTCTCTATTCTTCATGAGTTTCTTTTATGTAAAAAGGCTGTCTAGTGAGGGGAAAAAAGCACGGTGCTGCTTTCTTTCCTCCCTCCCCGCTCCAACAGAAATTATTTGCGTCCATGTGACCTTGCTGTTCAGGCGTGCCCAACCTCCTGGAAAAACAAAACCTCACTTCCACAGGAGAACAAAAGACATGCTTGGAACCGGAGTGAAGGCTTTCATAAGATCGCGTGGCATTTTGCAGGCAGGCTGGACTTGAGAGCAGTACTGGTCTCTCCTTGCATGTCTAGAAACCTGATCCAAAGCCAGCTGACATCTGCAGAGTCTTATCGATCTCAGTAGCTTGGGATCCAACCCCAAGATGACACCTAGGCTTGGATAAGCGTGTGTCAAATAGGCTCTGGGAGGTGGCACGGGCAGTGTAATACTGGCCGGGGTGGGTGGTTATAGCAGCAGTGCTGCAGAGGAGCAGGTACTTCTGTGTTGGCTCAGAGGCCCTGGGAGGAAGTTGTCCCTTAGCTGATAATTACAAGCTTTGACTTGTTATTAATCTGGCAGTAAGCAGGTAGGTTGCAAATCTTAGAAGGAAGAACTTTGGAGGAGCAAGGCTGACACAGGCTGGTCAGGTAAACACTAAGTCATTAACCACTAGACTAAGCATGAATGTGCTTGGGAGTTTTTCGGATCGTGTTGTGTTTCCATGCTAGCCCCTTCGGGACGGATGGTTCTGCGGAAGGTCTTCAGCCGCGGGGTTTCCCCCGTGGTTCCTGGTGAGCCTGCCGGAGAGCTGGGGGGGGTGGCGAGCAGCGTTCTCGCCCCCCGTGTTCCTGACAAGGGCAGCCTGCCACGGAGATCTGTCAGCAGCTAGCTAATGTATAATGACAAAATGCAGGAAGGGCAGTGAGCTAGAAAGAAAGGAGTTTGTTAACTCGGTGGCTGGTAATGACAGCCCAGTGCAGCCGAGACAGGCGATAACTCAGGTCGGGTGAGAAAGGGGAGAAAGAACCCAAGTGTTTCTGCTGTAACAAGCTTAGGAAATGCCTGGAGAATTGAAAAAAAATGAGGCAATTGTGACATGCCCTTATTGCAAATAAGTCTTTGTGCTCTGGCGCCTAGATCTGATTTTGCGACAGAGGGTGCATGTGATGAGGGCAGGGAAGTGCCGGGCACTACAGACCAGAGGCAAGCGAGGATGCTTGTTCTTGTGCCCCCTTTGCTTTGGGTGTCTGATGCTCTAATAAACAGCAGCCAGGGACTCCATGCTTGTGGGGTCGCTGAGGTGAGGGGAATGACCTCTCCTATGTCAGCCTGTAAGCAACTCAGCAAAGATGTCTAGAGACAACCTCCGAGTTATAAATGCCATATCATCAGTAGAAAATGGGCTGGGAGATATATATTTGTTGAACTGCATCCTATGGGGCTGGCTATTAGCCTTCCTTCACCAAACAGTTGCTCTTCCACCGCCTCTTTCCTCCTTTGCGTTGTCTGCCCTTCACCTCTCACTCTTTCCTCCTGTCTTTCACAACGTTTCCTGAAGTGCTCCTTTACCCACCCAGTTTCCTCCAGCAGCACTCACTCTCGCCTGGCCAAGGAAACCCTGAGGATGGCTGTTCTGGCCAGCAGTGCTCTGGCTAGTTATAACTAGTGGTTAGTAGATAGTTACAACTTTGAACGAGAGCAGCTCAGGATAGAGAAAGGGCTTTCTTTCCTTCTATTTGCATCCATTCTCTACTTTTTGAAATCGCTAAACTGACAACTGTGCCCTAATTTTTACTTTTCTATCCTGTCTTTTTTTAATCTTGAAACTTTTTCATAGTAAAAATAAGAGAACATGAAATACAGCACAGCAGAACTTCATTAGGTGAGCAGGAGATAAATGGATCATCAGAGAAATGCTTAAGAAAGCACTTCCTCTATTGCTGGAAAAGCCTCTCTAAGCATGTTAGGCTATGCCAGCTTTCCTGTAAGTGCTTTGCCAGTGAGCAGGCAGGAGAATAAGCAAGCTGGATTTGGAAGGTTGCTTCTCTGCACCAGCCATGAGATAGTGATGCACCTCTGAGCGGGTTTTGGTGGCGGCACCTTGCTGTCTCTCCTCCCTCGCGGTTCTGAGCACGCTTGCAGCATCGGGGTGAAATACTGCCTCTCTGAAAGTGCCGCACCACTGCGCTGTCAGTGTAACTGGTGGCACTCGCAGATAGCCTGCCTTCCAGACTGCTGTTTCTCCTCCTCTCGTCTGTTCATGCTCTCTTTTTTCCTTTTTGTCCATCTGGCCATTTAGCTAGGTGAGCTGTTGAGAGCTATCTCCTAGGTATCTGGACTGTGCTTGAAAGAACACGTTAAGCTTCTCCCTGTCTACGCCAGTGTGAAGCACACACCTCCCTGCAGCTCCCCCAGCAGGAATGGTCAGCCTGAGTTAATTATTAAAATCCTGCTGGTAAGACATAGGAGCATCTGTCTGTCCAGCTGCCATGCTGACGGACTCTTCATCGTATATTTGAGAAGCATTCAGAGAGCTTTCAGGAATCGGTGTTGCATATTTCAACCTACTCCTCTTTGTCTTTGCTCTCTGGAATTATTCATCCTGGAACGGGTGTGCGTGTGTTTCCCCTCCTCCCCCTCTTCACTCTCTCGTGCCTGCCCGGTGCTTTGATGTGAATCCAGAGCTGTGGTGGTCTAAACCTCCTCTTGAAATGGAGACAGCTCTTATTCATCAGATGGGGATTTGTTTGTATTCCAGAGGAGAATCTGGATGGCATATTTGGGATGACTTTGTACCTGAATAAATACTGTGTGGAGGAGAGATATAAGCACAGTTCATTACAACTATCCCTCAACTCCACTTGCATTTAGAAAATAGAGGTCTGGGATTTGGCCTTTAAATGCTGTGGCATCGTCAGCAGCCCTGCTGAGCACCTACGAAAGTGTTTCTCCGGTCGCCTTGGGGCGATACAGCTATTCGGCACACGTGACTAAAAGATAAAGATTATATTTTCCATTCTGATAATAAACGTTTCCGACTCGAAAGATGTAAGATGATTCTGCCTTCAAGCTCTGGGGGCTCCCATACAGGGCTCCATTTGTTTCCAGAGCCATTATAGTGCTGGCTTGCCTGATAATTAAGGAAATACTGGGGGAGGAGGTTCACAAGGCTGCTAACAAGAAATAAAACTGCTTCTGACAGGCTTTTCCAAAAGCTTTTTGAAGAGTGTTTTAGAAAGGGAAGCTTTCCAAACACAGCTGGTTCTGTGGGTGTCAGAGCTGGGTGCAAGTTTCCCCAGAGGAAACAGTGGGGTGAGGCTGGGACTCTCTAAAATGTGTGCGCTACAGTTTTAGTGCTGTCTTCTTCCTTCCCACACGGTGATGCCAAATGGATAGCAACCAGGTGCTACAGCAGTTCAGAGTGAAATGTGATTTTTGGCTGGCCTTCAACATGCTCCTGAGAGCAACTCTTTGCTCATATTTCTCTATGGGCTGAAGGTTAAAGAGGAAGCGATAGCCCTTCAAATAGCAGCCTGTCAAGGGACAAGGGGAGAGTGGTTACATCCAGATCACTCTCCCTCCCTACAGCAGGGCTTGCTCGCTCCTGGGACTGATTAGTCCCTTCCAAGCTGCTTCCTACTTCTGAGGGGATTTCAGTGTGTTTAAGCTTCAAGTGCTCTACAGAGAGGTTTTGGTAAACAGCTGTTTCCTACAATTTCTTGCTACCAGTTGTTTCTTTCTCTTTTCCTCCTGGTTTTAGTACATTGTTCCTGCTTCATAGTTTCATTTCTCTCCAGCCCTCTCCTCACAAATGAAGCTGGCAAACTGCAGAAGGCATCCAGGGATCATTTTCTTGGTCTTCGAGCAAGCACTGAACAACTGGAGATCAATTGAATGTTTTCCTTAAATGCTCTTTTATTGTGATCCCATCCGTGCCAGTATCTTCCAAGGAGACCCAGCCAGGGATGCAAGCAAAGGAATGGCATTGCGCTGCATGTTGAGACCCCTTCATTTGCATTGTCCTCTTGCCCTGCAGTGCTCCAGAAAGATGCCTCTTCGAAAGGTGTCTCTGCGTGGTGAACCCAAGGGCATCCACGATCCCAGTGTGCAATTGGCATTCGTGTTACCTTAGTGAGCTGTGAGAGGGATGGCTCGTGTGTGCCAGGCATCGTGGTGCCTCTAGAATTCAAATATGCTCAGCTTTTCCAAGCTGTTCTTAACTGGAGTATATTTTTTGCACAGAGCTGGAGCATGATTTTTGGCAAAAAGCAGTGAGTGCTGTTTAGGACCTACTGTTCCTCCACCTGCCTACCTCCAGCCCAGTATCCAGCACCCATCCTTCTGCTTTTTTAGGCTTAATTCAGCTTAATTCAGTGAATTTCAGCTTCTGCAGAAAAGTTAAGCCAGAGCCAATCCTGTAAGGGCTGTCAAGAGGGAGATTCAGGAAGGAAAACAGCCTGTTTCTTGTTTTGCCAGCTGCATATAGATGTGTCCATATGGGGGTAGCAAGGAGAGGGGAAGGATGCTGAAGGGACTCTTTGCCTCTGTGAGGCAGAAGGTCTGAGAAAGCGCCATCTGCACGCGGGAGAGAGATGCCCTGGAGACAGGGAACAGGACTGCTATAGAGTAGCTTTGTTTCTGAGTGAATTAGGGGAAGCCCTGGGCAAAGAAACAGGAATTGAGTCCTTTCTTAAGAGAGAGGATTCTGTCCTTCACTAACTGAAGCATCCAGTGGCTTTTAAGAGGGAGAACAGCAGAGCAGCTTGGAGGGCTGGCTGTTTCCTGGAGGAAGAACTTTTTCTGGGGAAGAACCACCTGTCCCAGGACAGGCAAAGTTGGGAGAGAAAGCAAGCGTCTCAGAGAAGATGCAATTTATTGGGTATGTGGGAAATCTGTGGGCCACAGAAGAGCAATGCCCAGCAGAAGGAGCAGGCCAAAGACTTTTCTGCCAAAATCACAAGAGGCTGCAAGAGAAAACTGTCTCTGGAAGTCTTTTTTCAACAGCCCAGTGCCTTGCACGATGTACCATGTCCTGTAGCTGCCAATCTAATTGTTCCCCATAGCCTTCAAAATGCTGACAGCTCCCTTCAAATTCTCAATTGTTAAAAGTTTTCCCTGTTGTCTTTCCTTTGCTATTAAGGCTGCTTTTGCGCTGGTGCCACGCTTCATCCCCCATGCCCTCCTCCATCTACTGTAAAACACATCCATCCCATCTGTTGTGGGGATTATGTCAGGAGTTTGGCAGCTGTCTTCTTACTTAATTGTCCACATTTCTTAACATGTGCTTCCTGCAGCATATTTTAATAACAGCTCCACAAACTGTTATTCAGTATTTGCTGTGGATTGGAGGCTATCTACACAATGTGCAAAGGAGGGTAGCTGGTTTTTGTTCACAGGTTATCTGTCTATCATTCAAGCTTGCTGCTCTTGTAATTCAAGTTTGCCCCGGTGACAAACACGGACATACAGAGGTGTCTCTGCAGGCCTACCTGGCTAGGTTCCCTGTACTGGCAATGGAGATGAGTCACATCTCCAGTGATAAGTCAGAGCAGGAGCCTAGATTAGCCTCTTGTTCCCCCTTGACTCTACGTGGAGCTAAGGCAGAGGAGCTTCCCACATGAGTTTTTCCAAGTTAGAAAGTGTGACTACTCCCAGCTCTGAGTGCTGCTACTCTGGGAGCTGGGCCCTTCCCATAGGGACTGAGTAGGACCCCGGAATGACCAGTGCTAAGTAGCATATAGGTACGTGCTAAAAGTCTTAATAGTGGTTAGATTGGATACGTATATCCAGTGCTTATTTCTACCCTGTAGAGTCACGTAGATTCTGTGCCTGATCCATTTTATAATCTACCCTACCCTTGTAACCCCCTACCCCTCTTTGTGGCTGTAGTCAAAAAGGGTTGTTGATTCTACCTCAAAGTGAACAGAGAGGCTTGCTAGGACATCCAGCACTTAGCACTTATTGGTGAAGTGATGCAGCTGAGCTCTTTCCTGCCCTGTTCTAATTTGCGAAGTTTGTCTTTTACCATCTGCAGGGAGGGCTTTGCAATGTCCTGAAAGCTGAAAATCCCAAAGCACGTGCCAGTTTTCTAGGGGGTATCCCGCTCTTCTCAAGCGTGAGGAAAATGTTGTCATTTTTACGTGTGCACCTGGTTGCAGAATTGCTAGAGAAGTGTTTGCAAGGACAAGCAATCATCACAGTGAGGTTAGCTCAGCTGGGTAGTTTGACATGAGGCTGACAGTGATCAAGAGTCAACAGAAGACCCAGAAACCTGTTAGAGTATGGGAGGAGACTGGGGAGTTAGGAACGGTAAGAGAACTTGTTAGACACGTTAAAAGCTGGGGACAGAGGAAGAACTGTTGGTTTTGGAAGTTCATTTTGGGGCTATGAAGTTCATATTTCACTTATGCTTTGTGTGGATTTGAGTTTGGGGAAGGGCATACCTGTGGACTTGTGATTCGGGGATGGGATGCTTAGTGCTGCCTTGTCTACCCTTTTTTTCTAAATTTGCAAGGTTAATCTCCTAGACTCAAGTCTTGAAGGTTCTTTTCTAGGTGCAGGAACCACTAGCAAAGTGTTCCTGGACCTGGAGCCTAGAAATTGTTCTTTCTGCTTTAGGAGCTGCTCAGACCTGCTTCCAAAACTTGCTATGTAAAGGTGAAATGGCTTTGTTGGAGTGTTACAGGGCTGCCTCAGAGGTGGTTCCCACCACAGAAGCCTATCTGGGAAATATTTTTAATAAGAATTATAAAGCCAATGTGTTTTGATCTGTGCTGGCATTTCCTGAGGGTGGGGATTTTAGAAACTTTAGATTTTTCAATTGGTTTTAATAAGACCTCCATTAAAACAGCATGTCAGATACTCTTGTATAGTAAATGGAGATGTTTTTGCAACTTTTCTCTCTTTAGGACAGTGAACTCCTGACATTTAATATCTCCCGGCATCAGTCGTGGTGGAGTGAAAATGGCCCTGGCTGTGTAAGGAAGGAGGCTTCAATGTCTGGCATCAAGGGGTTGGACAGCCATTCGTACATCTCTGTGATAGGCTGTGCCCTGGAGTATCGCTACATCGAGGTCATGCACAGCTCCTTCCAGATCCTGATCGCGGTGAGTGTACCGGTGAGCGTGCCACAGGGCAGCAGCTGTTGAGTGGATACTGTCTGTTTTTCCAGGCACTGAAACCAGCCCATATTTTCTGCCCCACTTTGTCTCATCTGATTGCAAAAGCCTCTGTAAATGTCATTGAAAGCTAGCATTTTTCGTTCTCCTGTTCCCTTACCAACATCATTGCTAATAAGAATTGGAAATTAATGCCAGCAACTTGAAGTAATGTATCATATGCAACCTTACAGTAACAACTCATTGTGTATCCCTGTCAGGGCCAGAAGAGTCATGTGTTGACAAGGACAGAGATCCTTGTTCAGAAGGATTTCTTCAGTTCCTCAGGATTTGGTAGCGGGTAGGGGAGCATGTATTTGTTTGTGGCTGCGAGGAAATAAAGGTGAGAAAATCCTTATCTCCAGAGAATGCAATAAACTTTAAGGAAGCAGAAAGGAGCATATTTTACTTTTGCTGACACCTAAGATTTGCTCTAAATGTTTCCATGAACTGTTTCCTCATCGGAGTCTTCCACAGGCTTTTTAAATACTCTGCAGTAATTCAATCTCCTTAATGTTCACTGTTAATTAATTGTTTCTCATTTGTCTGTGAAATTAAGTGAAACAACTACCCATTGTTTCCCTTACTTCACTGGTGCTCTTGCGTTTTGTAGCTGCTTTAGAGTTAGCAGCCTGCATCTTTCTAATCTGCTTCGGTTTGTTACTTTGTGGTTGATGGCTTTAAACGTAGATTAAGGTGTACTGGTGAAACGTTCACATTTCAGCATTTCAGGTCTGGCTGAAAAAATAAGGGTAACTTGCTTTGATTTAAATGTTAAAGGATAACGAATACAGAGAAATTCCAAGCTTCTGGAATCCCAAGTGCTTCTCAGCATGTTTTTGGTACAATTGTCTACTGTCTTGATCCTGCATTTCCTATTGGCTGAGATGACCTGTATGACCCAGCGAACTGCAGGGAGGGGGAGAAGACTCAGACTCCTCCTTGCTATGTCACACAAAACAGGCGGACAGAGAAATCCTTATTTCCTTAGTTGGCTTGTGTGCGGGCTGTTAATATTTGGTGGGTTCTCCTTCAGGGAAAGTTGTCCGAGTTAAAGTGTCTGGGAGTTGCTTCACCACATATGTATGAGAAATGAAAACTTAGGTATCCAAAATAACAGAGCCTGTTTTCTTTTGAAAAGGACTGTTAACCGAAATAGGATAGATGTTGCTGAGCTGGTGCTGTTCCTCCAGTTTAGTGAAACAGTTGGCAGATATTGAAGTTGGAATATCCCAGACCTCTGAAGTGCAGAAGTGTCGCTGTTAGCATCCTTCCCAGATGCCTGAGACGGCTCATGCCCCTGTGCCCCAGGCCACAAAGGTTCAGCCAACAAATGGTAGGATCTTGCTCTGAGTTTGTTTTTCTAAACGCAGACCTCTGTTTTACGGCATCTTACTAACTCAGGACATAGTCCTAAGCTGAGTGGTGATATCGATATATAGGAGGCAAAGGAACTAGTCTGTGTCTCTGGGAGTGTCTTCTCCTTTGCTTCACCAAGGCACACAGGAATATTCCTTCTGCATCTGCAAAACACCACAAGGGACCAGACGGGGAGAAATTCATGGGAACTGTAAGATAAAATAGGAGGTAGTTAAATATTTCCTCTCTCCTCCTTCCTGGGATTTAAGTTGCAGTGGATTTTTGCATCCTAAACCCTGGAAATGAGGCCAGAATACCTGGATGTGAGAAGCCCATACGGGCTGAGCTGTGCAGAGTGAAATAACATCCTACCTGTCCTGTAATAAAGTGGAATATTGAAGCCCCAGGCCTGTAGCTACTGCCAGCTCTGAAATGCTTTTGTAATTTTTTCATGTGGAGGGACAAATAGAGTTTTTTCCTCTTTGTTTTGCTGAGGTAAGACAGAAAGAAAGACATATTTTCACTTAAACCTTGCCTGAAAACAGCCAGCCAATCCTCTCCCTTTTTAGTCTCTGAGGGTCAAACTCTTTGATCCCTGCCAGTATTTTTTTTTTCTATTCTCTTTATCTCATTTTAAGGCAGATTTTATTACAGGCTGCTGTCCTTCCCAGAGCGCCTGGCAGGTAGTCTGTGCTGCAGACAGGCAGGGAGACCAGATCAATAGTCAAAAAGCACGACTAGCAACCGAAGACTTGGGGGATACGGTAAGGGACATGACCTAGTTCCCTCCTTGTCTGCTAGGTATTTGAGACAGGAGTAATCAGTATCCTATTTAGAAGAGGAGGGGCAAAATTATCCTTTTCTTTCTGTAGTTTTGGCTTTGGTTAATGTTTTGGAAGTCTTTTTTTTTTTTCTTTAATTCCAGATACAGTGAGGAGAAGTCCTTTTTCTTTAACAATGGAGTACCCAGTTGAGGACTTCTCATTTGTTTTCTGGAGATATCAATTCTTTGAGGCTTCTGAGGAGCTGTAGTGTGCCATGTTGGGTAGCTGGGTTAAGGCTGAGCTCATCCCACTGAATTTGATTTTATATGCCAAAGGAGAGGGAAGGAAAACCTTAGCCCATATGGTGAGTGCAGTGTTGGCTGTCACCTTGAATTCTGCTGGCTGTATCGTTCTGGCAATATGGTCCTGTGCCTCCATTTGAAGGAGATGCATAAGGTCTCAGTCTGCTTTTGCTCAGAGCTTTTCTGTACTCCTTGAAGGGAAGAGCAACTCCTTTAATCCGGAGTGGGATCGAACAGGGATATCGGTCACCATGCATGATACAAGTAGCTGTTGGATCTAGATAAAATCCATCAGATATCTCAAACATCCTCTTGTTGAGATTTGAACCCACACCTCTCTTGAAGATGGAAAGGTTAGAAATGTTATTGGGACAGAGCTGATGGTAAATTCTGTAACAGAAATGCAGGCATAAATCCTGCTCAGTGTTTTAGCACAAAAGACATTGGAGGAAAAGGCTTACTAGAATGAAACCTCCTAAGCAAAGTCAGTACTTATATAGAAATGTCATTGTAAAACTAATCCTACCAACCCAATTAGGAAATTCAGCAGAAACCAGTTTGTCAAGAAAAGAAAAAAATCTGCTTTGTTTTTTATCTCAGCAAGGATCCATCTTACATCCCCTGAACTTGACAGCCAGCAGGGGAAGGAGTGTTTTCTGGTTTTGAAATACCTGGCATAGTTCTGGTCTGTCCATATGGTAGTTCTGGGAGTGGGGAAGGATAGGCTTTTCCTGAGGCTCCATTGAACAGGATGGAAATTGGAAATGTCTTCCCAACTGAGAGAACTCATTGCCTGCCTGTCTGCTGTTTTCACTCAAACTGACAGGTTGGAAGGTTCCCAGAAAGGAGGCAGTGCAAGCTTTGACAGCAGATGTTATGTGAGAAGCAAGGCACAAGAGATGCTTTGCTGTTGGCAGAAGCTAGATTTTGAGTGGCCGTAACTGCATCCAAAGAGCAAAAAGGGTCAAGGAATCAAAGGATTTTGATTGCCTCTATTTGGCTATCTGATCATAGTAGCTTTTTCTCAAGCCGGTTAGTACCTTCTCACAGCTTGGGAATTGGGCAGAAATCTCTTCACTCTCCCTCTCACACTGATGAGAGCATGTACACTTCATTCACTTTGATTAGAAGTGAAACCTAGAATACATCTGCCCTAAAGAAGAGGAATCTGCACGTTTTCTCTGTAATGAAAAAAACAATGGCAAGTTTCTCTCTTCTCTCGAGAGAAGAGTCAAAGGGCCCAAAATATTCACTAGGATAAATGTAGACTAAAGCTAAGATTTTGCACAAGCAACAGGTGACACCTCCTAAAATCTGCCTTCCCATCCTTCATATACTTAACACGCTTGCAACCAGCTGGTCCCTTTCTCTAGATCTTCCTGTAATTCACTCTTTCTAGCTGAAGCACTTTAGTTCAATGCTGCTTTGGGGGGAACACTTTTCAACTTATTATTAAAGTTAACTTCAAATGACTGGGAAGCAGAAAGATGTTCTGACTTCCATTTTCCTGGCTCCTTTGGGCAGATTTGTCCCTGCCTGTCTCCTCTGCTCTGCGCTTTTGCCTGCAGAACACTTGGGACATTCCAACTCCATCCTCTTTTTTGTTCGGCAGTGTGTGTTTTTCCCAGGCTGTCTGACAGGCTGACTGAACACACCTGCCTACAACATGTGTTCCTAATAAAAAGCTTAATCAGATACTTGTGCAGCCTGGAGGAAGCTGGTACTGAACATGCAGAACAAGTGAGGAAACAGCAGCAGAGGCTAAAATCTGAGAACATTCTTTGGGGAATTAGAGCAGAAGCTTAGTGTCATTTTATGTCACTGACTTTTTCCTCCTCGCCCACCTCCCCTACACAGTTTGCAAAGATCTAAGAATTATTGATATTTCACTGGGATAATACAGCTTAAAACCCTCTTTGTTATTGTAATTAGGAATGAAGATGGCATTCAGAGCAAAAGTGAAATTACTTCCAAATTTTTGACATTAGTCAAGCTTTCTGCTCACAGTTAATCACTTCTAACCTTGGTGATGTTCTTCGGCTTGATACATCTTCACCAAGGACGCAGTCAGAAGGGAACCGTTGGTGTCTCTTGGAGTCTGCTCAGCCCACGTTCTAGCAGACTCTTCCAGTGAAAAGGATGTGACAAAAGGAGTAGTATTTCTCCTCTGTAACTATATTTCATTCATAATTCATGAAGGAGGCAAGACACAGGGTAGATCCCAGGAGTTCATTTCATCCCAGAGGTGATAGCTTTAATTATAGTTTAGTTCAGCCACTGTGAAAATGCAGCTCATGTTCATATTGTATGTCTCTTCCCTCTTTGCCGCTGAAATTTTCCTATTCTGACTAGCTTGTGAGTCTCATAGAACTTATTTGAATAAAAAGAAAACAAGCTGCTGAATAAACAGTAATTTATGACTGATGAAACTCCTACCAAGAAGAAAAGGGTTATCAGGTCAATGCAGAGTAATTCTTAAAAACTAAGCAAGTCATTTTGAAACAAAGTCCAGGGAAACAATAAATAAGTAAGTTTCCACAGAGCTGGGATTAGAGATTTTGGAAAGTTGACTTACTCTACCAGCTTCTTTCTTGTTTGTTTATGAGTGTAAAAGGTCACCTTGGCTGTAAAAGGAAAACAAATGTGGGGAGAGAAGAGTGATGGTTGGGGGTTACGAGGCATTAATTTCTGTGCAACATAAGCTTTACAATTCAAACTTACTGCTTGCTTGCTCCTTCTGAAGTCAGAATGCAGTTTTCAGAGGTTTAACAGGTTGCCCGTAATAGTGCAGCTGATACTTTTGTGTATTCTACCCATAAAGTGGGCAGATAAGTCATTTTCATTGTTAAGACCGTCAGGAGTTCCCTGACACAGCTATCAGGGACGGCAAACTTAGCTAGGGTTTGCGTTCATGTGCTGCCGAGTGTCATACAGTGACTGAATTCAGGAGTGCCGCTTCGCGTGGCTGCGAACCCGGAGTTCCTCCTCAGAGCCGTGATGGCAAAGCCGAGGAAAGGAGAAAACCTCAGCGTCAGGACGGATCCTCGCCCAGCACCGCGGTAGCGGCTCAGCACCGCGGCCAGCGCCGCTGCTGCGTCCCACCCCCACCGCTGGCAGCAGGAGGGGGCAAAGGCTGCCGCTTCGGGGTTGTCTCGCTGTTAGAGCTGCAGTTCTACTCGAACTAATTCTGAAAGACACCAGGTAAAATTGCATCAGCCATTGCCATTGCTTTGCGGTTGCCATTGCACCTGGAGGGGTTTCTTTCTAAGTTAAGCACCCTGTGGCTAATGGAAACTTAGCGTGAAACCACCCTGTCTGGGAAAATACAGAGCAGGAGAACGAGTGAGTGCACAGAGCCACCTCTCTTCCCCTGCAGCTCTGGGACAGGCTTCCACAGGGCCCACCCAGGAGCAAAGGAGAGAGCTGGCTTGTCTCTCATACAATTATAGGAAATTGTAAAGGAAATACGAGGTTTAGTGATGCTAAAAAAAATATTCCATTTCCTTCCAACAAGGTGGTTTTTTGTCTAGGAGAGCTGCAGAAATCAAGAATGCCTTATAACTCCCTAGTAGAAATCTCATTATCTTGCCTTTTGTTTTCTGGTGTGATGTATTTTTCTGTCATATTAAAAGTGAATGGACTCTACTTTTCAAGTCCCACCATGCATCATTCTGTCTTCCCTTGGAGTGAGTCACTGTATGTTACGTTCTAACTCTTGTTCAAGAGAATTGAGTTCACAGTGGAAAACAATTATGTCTCACAATAACTTTACTAATAGAGTTAGTGTCAACCAAGATTTTGCTAAGTGGGGTGTTATGTAAAGATGTAAAACGAAGGATGGAGAGGATATCTGATAAACCCTGCTGGATCCAGAATGCTCAATTCCCATAGTACCAGAAGCTTCTGTCTTTATTCAGGCTGGATAATGGCTTGCTACTGAAGCTGAGCAAGGACAGCACAGCCTGGCTCTGACACTTTAGAGCTTCTACCAACTATCTGCTAGGTGCAGAGCCACTAGGATACCTTAACCTGCTTTTTTAATGTTTGTTCTAGTTTTCTGCCCTAAACACTGCTCTGGGCAACTGCTTGGCACGTGGGCCGCACCGCACCGGGAAGGCTGTTATTTGAGAGACACCCTGTTGTATCACGTTACTGTTCCTTCGCTGCTTCTGTGTGGCTCCCCCGGGGGTGGCGATTTACTGCTAGCCTATAAAATTTGTGAATTAAGACCATCGCTATGATCTTGGTTGTTTCTCATCATCCTCTGGCCCATTTCCTTTGCAAGTCCAATGCCTGATTAGTCCATGCAGTTTTCATTCAATTCCAAGGATCAAGAGAGCCTTACAAATTTAGAGCTAAAGTAAGACTAGGATTTCATACCAATGAATTTTTGATCGCTAAGCCTAAGATATTAAAGATTTCAGGGCTTCTGAGTATGTGCTGCCAATAAGTCACCATTTGTATGGTCAACTAAGTTTCTATCTCATCTGCATAAAAACTGGTCTCGTCTTGTTGGCAGATCCTACACCAAAGTAGTGTCTCTTTCCTTGCATAATGCTTGTGACAGGATTATGGGCTGATGAGTTCTTGTCCCTGGACCTCTGTTAATAAAGCCTACACACATGTCTGTGTGTCTCCCTTGTATGTACTGGTCTCTCTATAATGTTACATCAGGCACTCTCCTGCATCCCCCTCACTAAACGTAGCACGGTACTTTCAGTGTCAAGAAAACCAGGCCATTTTCTTGCCAGTCATTCTAGCAGCAGCAGGCTGCTACTCTGAAGGTAAAGATGGGTCTTGCAATTTCTGAGTTTTGAGCTTGGAGTCTGCCCCCAGCAGTCTCTTCTCCTAAGCCTACCCCTGCACTGCTTACCTTAGAGCAAATACAACTTTGCTCCACCGTTACAGTAATGCTGCCAAGTTCAGAGCAAATACTGGCTGCTGCAGTTGTGCCAGGCAGATATTGACCAGCCCCACAAGAATGATGCTGAAATGATTTCTTCTCTGTTTTTTCCAGCTGGTGGGCTTTGTCTATGCCTGTTACGTTGTTAGTGTTTTTACAGAAGAAGAAGACAGCTGTAAGTATCTATCAACAGAACCCTTGGCAAAGGTTTTATTAAATTCTCTTTCTCTCTCAGACGTTGGTCTATCAGCAATGTGTTGCAATGAGGCTTCTTTCTGTCTCTCCATCTACCTTTTACAGCAGTAACCACCTTTCCAGGACCAGCTGTTTTTACTGTGAGACTTTTTTTCCTGCATCATTGTGTGTTGGATGCTATAATACTGTTACGCTTTCAGCACAGAAAATCCTAGTGTTGGCTACTCACTTAGACTAGGCTTCAGAGAAACGGGACAGCATAATGCCAGTGAAATATTACCAGTGCAAGTAGGAGTACCTACAGCAGAGAATACAGCCTGGTACTCAACTAAGCAGGAAGGCCACCTGCTGAGTATCATATGCCACAAGCTGAGGATGAAGCAGAGAGCAAGATTTCTTGCCAAGAACTGACCTGACTACTTAATTTAAAAGCAGAGGAAGCACTGAATTACAGGAAGGATGAATGAACTGACTCCCTTGCGCCTGGTAGGCAGCTCTCTTAGGTGTCATGCATTCACTATGAGAGTGTCAGAGCAGAGCAAACAATCAAAGAGAAAGCACATGGATGGCTGGCTCTGTGGGATCTATCCAGATACCTATCACCTGGTCCTGGATTACTTTGCTCTTCTAAAACTCCCTTTGAGACCAATACTTGTGCATATACAAGGATGGATGCATAGGGTTCAAATAAATGTGAAGTCTTCTTTCATTGGCAATATGTTGCTTTCTGTGTTTCAATTCTTAGCATGTTTGAATCGGTACTTTTATTCAAATCAATGGCTCTAGGCCAGTTTACTGCAGCTAAGGATCTGATTCAAAGGTTTCATACCCCAGTATCACTTCCTCAAGACGCTCGTTAGGTTTGTGCAAGTAGCTCTGTCCTTGTAAAGAGCGGCTGGCGTGGACGTTAGCTGAAAAATAACAGCTTTGAACAGGATATTTGAAAGCATGCAAAGAACGCTATTCCAAAGGGGTCAGATGAGATGAACTGCTGGTCGGACTTGCCTGCATATTTTTCTGTTGTTTCCTGTGTGGTTGAACTGATTCTACTGGCATAAGTTGATTATTTGGAGCTTAGAAGTGCACTTTGTGAAGGTGTTACATTACAAGTAATATTACTTATAAACTGCCCTATAGCTCTCCCTTTACCTAAACAGCTTGAGTTCTGAGTTCCTTTTTAATATTGTAAAATAATAACTTGACAGAGCTCATTTTTATGACAGGGATCTGTTAGGAGAAGCAATCACATGCAAGAAAGCATTATCTAGAAATGCAGAACTGTTAATTTCAGGATACATATTTTTTTCCACTAGCAAATTCCTTTCCCCTCCCAGTTTCCCAGCTTGGAGTTAAAATGCCAGCTTGAATAATTAACAATGACAAACCATCAATATTTCACACTCACAGTGGTAGATCCTTCCAGTGACCCGAACAAATTTGAGCTGCGTTTTAATTTTCTCTTCCATTTGTGGTTTCTTCTAAATGTTCCTTTGATATGCAGCATGAAGTAATTATAAGTGCTGAGGCACATTAATCAGGAAGCTCATGCTAACGTGATTTTCATGAAAAAACACAGCAGTGGGGATCCACTAATGCTGAATTGTGAGCAAGAATATTTTAGATGTGCTCATGCATTGTAATGTATGGCTGGTAGCGACAATGAACTACAGTTAAGATTTTTTTTTAAGTGACTCGGATTTTGGGTGCTTCCGTAGTTGGGTGCTCAGATGAGGTGACTCTGTTCAAGGAGCTAGATAGTTACTTAAGATTGTGTGTCTGTAAGGTCTCCCAATTTAGACAGTCCACAACTGAGGTAATACAGTTAGTAACTGTCTTTTAAAATACTCAAATAAACATTTTTCAAAAGTGGCTGAAAAGAGTCCAAGTCTCATTGGAAGCCACCGGGAATTCTGCTCCCAATTTACTTAGGACCTCTACAGATTTCACCTATTAACTGGCAGTGGTTCCAGAATCACCGTATCAGCATGAAGCTATCCATCAGGATGCAATTTGTGAGGATACATTGTCCTCAAAATTCTACTTTAGAAATTTATTTTAAGAGGTTTTTTTTTCACTTCATATTTATAATGAATTTTTTCTGATTTTATATTGTTTGATTAAAAAATACCAAAAATCCTTAGCAACATATAGCTAAAACCTAAAATAATAGTGCCACCTTCAGGAAAAAAAAAATGAACAGGCATTTATATAGTTAATAAGACTCTCCAGTTGTTTTTAAGTGGCATTTGTATGGGATATAAGCTTTCACACTTCCAAACAAAATATACTAAGTTGGCACTGAAAAGTGGTCTAAACTAAATCTATTTGAAAGGTTTTTTTTACAAGGCCTGCTAGGTCAGATGCAAATCACACATCATACCCCTACTGACCTAGCTGTGTTGGCCAGCTCAGTAGTATAGATTTGGCCAAATTTCAGCGGCTCCAAGAGAGACTTGGAAAAATTCTTCCATGGGTACTAAGGGTATTGTCACTTAAAACATCCCTTGTTTAGTTACACTGCCCTTTTGTGAATACTGGAAAAGGGAAGCATTGTTCCTGTTTGTACACATTTAAAAGAAACTGAGTTGGCAGAGAGGACCTGAAAAATATCAGAGCTGAAGATAATGAATGGGGTATTTGCAGTTCTCCAAAGCTGCTGTTGTCTGTCTTGCAAGAAAGACAAGTGGGGCAAGAAAATTCCCACTTCAGTATATAACCTTCATGGGCATTGCTGTGCTGCCAGCTTCTTCGCTGGCATCCACTCACATGCCATTCCCCCAGCTTCCTCCTTTCAGCACACTGCTGAATGGCCGAGGCTTTGTCAGCTCAATTCTCATGTGAAGTTGCAGTGTGGAGGTAATACCCAAAGAGGCCAAGGGAAGCCCTCCTGTTTATCTGGAGTCTTGTTTTGGTTTGGTTTTTTTTGTTAGCTCTGTGCTTTAAGTACTGTGTTAGCTGAAACTCCTCCTTTGGAACACTTTCCCACCCCAAGAGATGGAGGAAAGAGGTCATTAGAGGCAGAGATTTCCAAATAGCACTGGACAACCCATACCCAAAAAATCATTTTTCTGTTCGCTCATTAATTTTTGTGTTGTCATGACAGGCATCGACTTTTTCTTTCATTTCCTTTCAACATCCTGGCCATGTTTGTTTGTTTATTTCAGTTTTGATTTTTTTTCAGTTGATTTCATTGGTGGATTTGATCCATTTCCTCTCTACCATGTCAATGAAAAACCCACCAACCTTTTGTTCAAGCAGACATACCTGTAAGTATTGTGTCCTGTGCTAAGAGGCTACACATCCCTCTTAGTTTGCCTCAAGGGTGCCATGGGCTTGGGTTTGTTCCTCCTTTGCAGGTTGATTTCTCCAGCAGGTTTTTCAGATGAGGGCACAATCAAGCAGCAGAACACAGAAGGGGTGAGACCGCCTCTGTTCAGCCCCAGGCTGCTAGGGTGAAGGTGGTATTGCCATACTTAGAACAGTGTCATTTGACAAGAAGCACTTGCGCCAGCTGTAGGACAGCATTATAGACAAACTACTGGACACTTTTCTCTTAGAGAAAGCAAAGCGAGGCTTTTCAGCAATGAACGCTTTACCAAACAGGTAAAAGTAGGAGCTGTGGGGAAGGAAGAGTCAGCTTCAGTGGTTGCTGGGGATAAGCCATAGCAACACCAGAATGTAATTCTCCATCTCAAGGTTGAATTGTGGTCTGTCAAGCCGAGCCTCAACCACAGACCTCTACACAGGGAAAAATATATGCATCTTCTATGGTTACTTAAGCTCTGTCTTAGGTCTGTGCGCAGGCAGTCACAACTGAACTCTGATCTACGCATCCATGTGATTTTGATTCCTGGCCATGTCTTTGCCATCCTCCCATAGTCCTCTCTCAGGGTGGCACCAAAAAATAAAAATAAAAAAATCTGCGTCTATCACTGGCACTGGGTTGCATGGTCACCCTTTATCTGCTTGGATTCCTAGGGGATCTGTAGAGTACAAAGTTAACACACCAGAGCTGAATTAAACTGAGCATTAGATGGTTCATATGCAGGAAGGTTTCATTTTGTTGGCCTTCTGTTTCCTACAAGAACAGCAGCTCCCCTCATGCAGCTAATAGAGCTTCATTGTTGAATCCTAATTTCTGCCCTCTGATAATCCCCTTCCACTATTGAATGCACAAGAGCTTTCATGCAGTCCACTTGAAAGCTGGTTCTTAATGAGATTCTCAGACATAAAGGCCAGCATTATCTGTTTAAAGCAGCAATAAGATCTGAATTTCTGATACTCCTTATATCGAAGCTGCGAGAAGGCAATTCAACATGCAGAAATTTTTAAGAGCAGTTGTCAAGGGAGGCTGTTTTTTTGAAACTAATGTTACCAGAGCTCTGCCAAAAAGAAAGATTTGAGGATGGGGGAGAAAAGTGAGGCTGGGAGAAGAAAAACTGTCCCCAAATCGATTTGTGGATGTGCCTCTGTAACACAGTACAGACTTACTACACACTTTGTCACTGCAGTGTGCAGCACAAGTCCAGGAGGACGAGTCATTTCTGCCAAGGAGTTAAACTCCCTGTAAGTTTAGGGGTGCAACAGCATTATTATGAGGGATGCTACAGGAGATTAAATATTGATTTCCCTCTCATTTTGTCATGGTGAGATGGAATTTTCCATAGTGTGCAGAAGCTGTGGAGCGTCAGGCAGCTCCCTGATTTACTAGCTTGACACAGCAGGGTAGGGAAGAAACATCACACTTTTACAGTATAGGATTTGAGCTGCTTGTCTTTAAAAATGATAGTTTTGTCTGTAAAAAAAAGCTAGTACTTATCAATTGTTTTCTATAGGGGGAGGTCATAATATGAACAGAAGCTGGTAATGTAAAACTTCCCTACAGGGCACCCATTAAGATGGTAAGCCACTAATAAAGTGCATAGGTACTTCTGTCACTCTTCGTTCCCATTCTTCAGAGCATCATTCATGTACTGATAGCTTCTGTCTGCACAATATAATATTTCTTCCTGGCTAACTGGAAATGAAAACAGCTGCTTAGCAGTAGATAAGGCGACCCTCTATAAATTTCACAGCAACCACCAAACAGTTATTTTTGTTTATTCCAGCCTAGTTCTGGCATCTCTTCTACATGCATGAGCAGGAGCAAGCAGTTGATGACTGAGTAGAATGATTGTCACCTAATGACGCTGCAGAGTTTTGCATCTGGTCTACTGAGTGCCGGATGCCCTTGTTGTCCTGCTGTGAAAACGGTTCCATGATGACTGAAGGCCTTTCCTTTTTTTTTTTTTTTAAATCCTGTTCAAGAAGATGCAAAACAATAACAACATCCGACTTCTTTCAAATTTAAATTTTAAGAGCAGCAAGGGGTCAGGAACATGCATTTTCTGTCTTTTCTACCTTTTGTTGGAGGAAATCTAAAATGAAATCAAATTCATTCTGAAACTACTGAGTCAGGGCAGACAGCAACACCAAACCTTCATTTTTCATTTTAGGACAGCATCCCCCCAAGTCAATGGTCAGCTGCTCTCCTGATAACAGCCTTGCCCTGTTGCTGCAACCCTCCCTCCCTCTAACAGGATCACTTTCATTCACTGCCTGTCTATTGGGATTATATATACATATATATATATAATTATTATAATTATTATTATTATTATTAGTTTTATCTACCCTTCTCTGATGAGATCACCTTCCTTCCTCTCATCCCAATGTGCCCCTTCCCTTGTCCTGGCATGCATATTCCCCTTGTCTCTCTTCTTCAGCTCTCTGAACACTGAACCTTCATTGATCTTTAGGCCCAACAGAACAATGATGTTGATCTAGACTGACTTGCCTAGCGTAAGTCTGAGACACCCCCCCCCCCACCAATAACCTCTGTATCAAGGCCACAGCATCTGAGCTAGCTTACTTTTAAATATTCTGTCACAGTTCAAAGATTTCAAATGGCTTCTCCTGTCTTCCTTGCTAACCCACTTCAGTGGTTATCAGCTGGTAAATTCACTATTCAAAATGTGCACCCCATTTCTGGCGATCAGCTTCCAGCCACTGAATAGAAAGGTGTTCTTAATGCCTTTGTCTATTAGGTTGAAAAAACACTTCCCCCCCCAAAGCAGTTACGGAGATAGGTACTTCCAGACAACAATCCAGTCATTTCTTAGTTTTATCCTGGATAATCTATTGAAAGCCTTGATTTTGGTTGCAAGTTAGTGAAAAAGCTTGCAAATGATCAATAGTTATATATTTCTTTAAAAAAAAAAAAAAAGACTCTAACTGACATTTTTGCGTTGTTGCTTACAAAGGCATGATTTAAGTATGTTTCATCTCGGTTAGCACCTCTAACGCTCACACAGCAACAGTAGTGTTCTATAAATACAATTATTTCTACTTCAGGTTCCACAATTGCTTCTGTTCTACATTTCATTGACTCTAGGGGTTTTTGGTCGTGACAATTTGTTTCAAGTTACAAATTTAACAGGCTCAACTGAGCATGGAAAAAGGGTTTAAAACTTTACTGTGTAAAAGAGTTGCCCTTAATCTCATTGCTACTTCCCAATCAAGACACTGGACTGTTAGCTTTATCAATAATATATTGGGAATCTTGATAGGAAGTATGTTAAAGTCTTTAGTGTGTGTTTCTGGGTCAAAGTACTTAACCAAAGGATAATACATCAGTTATTGAAAACAGAAGTCATGTTCTCCTGAGACCAAGAGACAGAACATTCCCAATGAGTTTTCAGGAAGGAAAACCTGAACTCTTACCCTTCATCGGCTAAAGCTCAACCTCAGGCCATGCCTGCTTGCAACACTGTCTCCTCTTGGGCTTCACAGGAAAGGACAGCATTTCAGGCTTGCTCTTCTTCCTGCTTGTGGTAATAGACCTCTCATTTAAAACAAGGAGGCACTCTTGCAGCAATAACCCGCTAAGGGTTAACCAACACTACTTTGAAGTTTCTGACTAAAGCCGTTATCTCCAATATATTGAAATACCTGCCAAGACACTAGGAGGCCCAGATCATCAAGATAACTTGTCATCATTTCTGACCTGCTAAATCCATTCAGCATTTTGACTGAGAACATCATCCTCCACATTTGTTCCAAAAAAGTACTGTGTAGTCTTAGTTCTAACCCAGAATAGTCTTGATTCATGATTTTCTCCTTGATTTAGTGCTAAAGCAAAAACCTACTGAGTGACAAGTAGCCGCCTATGTTTATTTAAAGGGCAAAGAGATAGGCAATAGGTCCCCCTGCATTTGAACATTTTATTTATCAAACCAAGCAGTGAATTCCACAGTTGTGAGGTTTCTATCCTTAGCACTTACTGCAATCTAGCACATTGGATACCATTATCATATTAATAAGTTAAGAGCTTTAATTTGATCTTAGTTGCGTAGCCAGATTTCACTGACTTTGGTTTCCTCAGCTCTACCATTTGGAAGAGGTCACAGGGTAACGCACAGGCTGTGACTTTTATCAGCCGGAGACTTTAGGACTGACATATTAGCAACAGGAAGCATTGGTTGATTGAATGATCTAAGGTTCCAATCAGCAATTGCTCTCTTTAATGCTCCCTAATCAATTCTTTTGTAGCACAGTCTGTCTGCTAGCCACAGGCATGAAGCAGCCGTGTGCATGCAGTATTAAAGGACTAAAACCCATAAAATAGTCATCCACTTATTGGTTGAACACAGGTTCTTCAGTAGATCAACTGGCAACTGATAGGTACAAGTATGCAAATAACAATCTTCAGTTCAAAATTCAAACTGAAACACTGGGTAACAGGGAGAAACAAGATTTATTTTGGATTGATTTTTTTTTTAAATTTGTTTACTGACCAGAATACTTTGCAAAGGAAATTGTTACTTAAATGGGAAAAAAATCTCATTCTGTTTTTTTTTTTTTTTGGGGGGGGGGGGAAATCAAAACAAAATGCTTCTGCTTTTCTTTCTAGGTAGACTTTTTTCCAAACAAACAATTTGCTGAACATCAACATGAATTTGCAAACTCTTTTCATCAACCTGAAGCTGCATGCTTAAGAGGTGATGTTTCAGCTGAAAACATTCATTCATGTTTACTGAAAAGTAGATCTGCTTATACTGCATCTACACCAAAAAGCACATCACTGCAATTTCGAGAGGTTATTTTTGTTCCAGAGATGATCCCCAGCTTCTGAAATTCCTCACCAAATTTTATAATTTTATAAGCACCAAAGGCTGGGGACATATGGATCTAACACTTTGGTTCATACCTTTTTTTTTAGTCTAACTGCAGTATATTCAGGTCTGTTATATGCATAATATTCTTTCCAGACTTGAAGACTACTTAACCACATTACATCTGATCCTTCAATCCTATTCTTCATCTGCAGTCAGTTGTACTAAAAGGAAAAATAAATTGTCCTCATTATGTCCACATCATTTCTGTTATTTTAAGTAAACAATTTTCTACTTGCTCCAGGTTGATTCCCTACCTCCACCTTCTTTCTACAGGCCTGCGTAAATAAAAAGGAGCCAGAGGATGGATAAGCCTTTCACTCCACCATCAAAGGTGCTGCAGGAAACAATCCTTGTGGCCTGGATCTGTGGCAGAGAAAATGCAGAATGGTGAACTCCATTCCATTTTTTGTTTCTTGTTTTCTTTTCAAATGCAATGAATGTACATTGAAGAACAGCCTTGCGGTTTGTCTTTAAATCTACAAGTGCCCTGATGAGCCATTCCTACCATAGTCTGGTCACTCTAGCCAACAAGTGGCATGGGCCTGAAGGCTGAGGCAGAACAAGTCCACTGGAAGCCTCTCTCAAGGGACACAGTTCAAGTAGGAGCTGCTTCCTTCTACCACGGATCCATAAAGAAGGAAGTGCTGCATACCACCTTGGGACACTTCAGAAGTTCTATAGTTAGCTTTTTCCCCTCTCCTTTCCCCTTGTTCTGAAAGGAGCCTAAATCTCCTAAAAAAAATTTCATCTCCCTCCTGCCTGTATAGAACTATGTGGGGGCTATTTACATTTCAGTTGTTTATATATGCCCCCCCCCCCTTTTAAGTTATAGATGAGAGCTCTTCCCTTTTTTATTTCTCTCTCATCCAGGACTCCCTTCCTCATTCTCTGTTCCTTATAAGCAATGGACTCCTCAGCAGTCAGAATTTGTCCTAGATTTCAATGATATGTGACCTAACTACTACAACACTGAACTGCTAAAACCTAGTACAAGTACCAAATCTTTACTCAGCATGGAGCTTAGCCCTATTTCAACATGCTAAGCCAATCTCAGAGCAGCAGCAGCTTACTCGAGGTTTGCCCAGCTACATTAAGTTAACACTGCTGTAGCCATACCTGCTGCAGGACACTGGAAAATGCCTAGTTCTTCATGGCTCACAGACTTTTTGTGCCCGCTTTCCTCATCGGGCAGCCACACTTATATCACACACAAGCCTGACAACATCATTCTGGAATTTTTTTTTTTTGGTTTGTTTGCACAATGGGTAATTTAGAGGGGAGTAGGAAATGAGCAGTATAAGTGTAATTCAGTTGCATTAATGAGCTGCAGTAATTAACTGGAAAAAACCCATATAGTATCAGTTTTGTTAGCTACATCTCCCAGCATGTAAGCGTCAAGTGGAGAAAGAACACTTTTACAGCCATCCCTGTTATTCTTTGGTTGGTATATTCTAAAGTGCAGTTGTAATTCTTTATTGTCTTGCCTAATCAGTTTAAGATCACTTGGAATTTCTGAATAATGCTCTTTCAGAAGAGTCAAGCCTGAAGCCATGCTGGGGAAGGGAAACACGAGGAAGAATTAAAGGAATAAACACATTAAACGCTAAAATCAAAAGAGAATAACGCACCTTTCTCTTTCCCCTTCCAAAGGGCCCAGGAGGCAGAATACTGTTCTGCAATATTAAAAGTATGAGCAGTAAGAGAACACACACAGTTTCTGCACAATTTTCCTTCAAGGTACCCACAACCATCTGAAACCTGAAGACGCCGATATAAGTGAAACTATTTCAGGGATGTGATTTCTTCAGAGGTCAGTTTTCCTTCTCTCACCAGTAGGAGCCACAGCTTCTGAGTACATACCTAAAAGGATAGCTGACATGGCAGCTGCTTTGTCACCTGTTTCATCATACAACGAAGAAAAAGCTCAAAGCTCAGCCTTCCTTGAAGCAGATCTGCCTGACAAAACATGCTGCCTCCCCTATTGGCCAACACTGTGCCATGGGGGGGGGGGGAGGAAGAAAAACACACACACACACAGCAGGACACAGCTACTATCCCATTTGACAACACACATAGCAGCGTGGGTATATGGTCCCTTGGCACTTCCTTCACCTCTTTTTCGGTTCAGTTCTTTTGTGTATTACATTCCTTCATAGATGCCCACCTGATGTTTCCCGGAGGGGCAGAAAAAGGAACAGCAGAACAAACATGTTCTAGGCAGACTGTTTCCCTCCCCCCCAAAAAAAATCTATTTGGGGATTTTGAAATTAAACTTCTCTTTCCCAATTAAAACAAAAGTGTAAAGTCAGTATTTTTTTAATGAGAACTCTTTTCCTCTCAGGAAGAAGGCTGTTGAAGAGAGATATGTTGCCAGTAAGATACCATCATTCTTTATTGGCCTTGTTTGAGGGCAACAAAAACTCAGCACAGATGGTGGACAAAGCATAGTTTTAGTTTTGAACAGCTAAAATATTTTACTAGTCATTTCAGGAAGGAATTATTGTAGGTATGAAGTCAAAAAGAATTCTTCAGATTATTTTCAGGTCTGCAGGTTTTTCACACAACACCTCTTAAACTGACCAAGCCTTGATGCCACTTTTACAAAGAAAACTGAATCAAAACATCTGCTCAGTATGCTAAAGAGGGTAGGTACCAGTATTTCTAGAACTATGGACTTAACATCATACTTCTTGGCTTTGACATATACCAGTAATAATCAATTAAGTAAATACACATGTCATGATCTAGTAGTTTCAGACCACCATCCCCCCTTCTTTCTGTCCTATGAAGTATACAGATAAGTATTTTTTACTAGAAGTAAAATAAAGGTTCAGGTAAGCCTGCAATATTTAGTATCAGTGAATGCCTTAAGTATCAGGGAATGCCTTAAATCAAAGGCCAGTATGAGACGAGACAAAAAAAACAGACAAACTACTAAAAATCATATTCCACACTTAATTACCTCCTCTGGTTTTCAATGCAGTGCCATCCACCTTGCAAGCTCTAACATCCTTTCTTCCTGGCTACTTGTGCCATACCTGCTCTACAAGTATTGTAGGTCTGCGCAATACCATGTTTTGTTAAGGTACCAACTCCCAATGCTTCGCATCTCTCATGCTGTATGAAAAAAGAGCAGTTGAAGGTTTTGCTCAAGTGGTTCCCTTATTGCCAGGTTAAGAGTGCCCTCTATTGGGTACAGGCATCACTTGGGACTTGCTGCTACTGAAAAACAGTTTGCAAAGGGACATTTTCCCTCTTTTGCAGTTGAAGAGTTTGGAGCGCGCGCATACGCACCTCACTTCCTTGTTGACTCCAAGGGAAACCACTAATGGATGCTAAAAACAGTTGCCTCCTTCACCCGTGCCTACCTAGTACTTAAGGATGGAAGTTCAATTATCTACTGCCTGACATCTCGTCTATTTTACAATTTTCCTCCTGCCCCTCCACCCCCCCAAAATCAGGGCATTTTACTAGAATCAGATACTTAGACCTCTGTAAGATAAACAAAAGAAAAACCTTTTATTCCATAAAAAAAAAAGAACACTTTAAAAACATACATTCCCTTTCCCCTACAGCCTGTAAACCTATTAACAGGCTATATTACTGACAAAACTTCTTTTTTTTTGGGGGGGGGGGGGGGGGGGCATGTTAAAAAACAAAATACCATATGTGAACTAAAAATCATCAGTTTAGCCAGCAAATAGAAGTCCTAAAAAAGGTAAGTTTCCATAGCTATCTTCTAGCAGAAGGGTAGCCTGTAATAGCCAGGGAAGAGGCTTTACAAAGAAGCTTCCAGGAGATCATCCAGTAACCCAGATCAAAGAGTCTGTCACCTTCTGTCTAGTGAGGAAGGTCATCAGCTGACAATAGAGATTGAAGAATCTACAAACAGATAAGGGTTTTCACTTAATTATGTGGATGTGGATATTACTGAAACATTCCTCAGTTGTTGACAGTTCAACAAGACAACTCCCCATTTATGGTTTCATTTGTTCAATCCTCTTCCCCCTCAAAGCAGGGCTCAGAGCAAAGGAAAAACCCACTAGACTCTCCCTGTTTCCCCACAATACATGCTGCTAGGTATTTTAGTCTGAGGAATGTGTTTGTTATAAAAACAGTCTGATTTTTAGACTTATTGAGGGAAGATATCAACCCAAGAAGGACAAAATTATTTTCCATCATCTCTAAGCAACTACTAAATAGAAGAAAAAGAATCAGAGACAGGCCACTAAAAACAGCCCTCGATTTCAACACAGAACTAAGATTCGTTTGAATATGCAAGACTTTGGAGGAGGAGAATCTCTTTCAACAGAAGTCTGTCCCTTTTGGTGGGTAAAAGAAACTTAACAGCGTTTTCCAGGAGCAGTCTTCCAGCAAGGTCAGTAGAGTACAGCATATCAGCAACTCTTATTGTAGGCGCTGTGCATAGGAACACATTCAAATCTGGTGAATGCCTTCATTTAGGCCAAGCTACCCTGCAAATATGTTTGCTTCAGCATCAGTTGAGTTATTTACTTATTTTGTTCATCTGCTGTGTTAGGAGTGGGTTTTATAGACCTATCTTTCCCCTTAAGTACCTCATGCTTCAGGACATGAAAGTCCTCACACTTCCCCGAATGACCGCTCTGCAGATAGGACACAGACTCAAGTTGGGGGCACATTCTGCACATGCTACCAAGTGACCACAAGGAACAAAGACAACAGATACATCTCTGTCCATGCACACTTTGCACATCCTCTCCGCTTGCAGGCGTCTGAGTTGCTCTTCTGTGCTCAGTGGAGACTTGTCTTAAAAAAAAAAAAAGAAAAAAGTGTTAGCATTGCAATTATTAGAGAGTGCCAATTCTATGATCTCCAAAAGTCATATATTCCTGCAACTTGCTCATCACTTTGTTCAGAGACTGGCTGGGAACATGGCAAAAGTACTATAATCGGGCAATTTCTTTTCAAGCTGAAAAGATACAGCTAGTCTAGACTCTGGCTTCTACATTTATCTACATGTGCTGGACTGGCTGGGGGAAAGGATCAACATCTTTATACTACATAATGTAACTCATCCCCAGTAAGCCAAGTTTTTGGTATCGGTCTGTTTTGCAGTGGACTCCTAATTCCTGAATAAGGTCTCTGTTCAGGCACCATGCAAACTAGAACACATTCCTTTTCAGGATTAACAAACGAACATAATGAGTGCTAATAGTGCTGCTATAGGAGCCATCCTAGTTATTGGCTAATTTCTTCACTGCTGTCACTCCAGTGCACCTGATTCCTTTTGCTGCGCAAGTTGCCTTTCTTCTCCTGAACACGATGTTTCAGTCTCTCTCTGAACAGGGTCTGTATAAACAGGAAGAAAGACTGCATTAATTGCTACCCCTTTTCTCCCTCTTCAGACAGTGCTGTGCTTAAAAAAAAAAAAAAAAAAGCAATATTCTGTGCTTCACTATCCTCAGGTCAAACACCTCTTTACAGAGCTGTCAACCCTACATACAGCCTGGCCAAGCTGATGCTCCCAGGTGACTTCTCAGGCAACTGAACATCCTGGTAAGGAGGTTAACATACATGTCCACATTGCATTCTCTCCTCAGAAAATCTGGTTTAAAAATCTACTGGACAGTGGGAACCATCAGCTGATCATTCCTGCTCCAGTGCTAAAATTTAATCATTCCCTCAGTTTGATGGGAACCATTATATTTTTTGCCTTGACATAGAGCAAGCTTGCTATCAAAAAAAAGAAACCACACACCTATGTGGAACTGTTCCTTCAAATAAATTCACTCAGCAAATAGATGCAGGTAAGTTGAGATCCGTTGAGTCTGTGTCATTGAGAACGTACGTTATCCGAATAAATGAAAAAACAACTATTTCTGACCAAGCCCTTGGCTTGACTTTAAACAGTCTTGAAGTATGCGTTCACCCTAGAAGCCCTCCCTCAGACAACTGCCTATGTCTACCCGTCTGCACCAAGAGACTTGAATTTATGGGCAAGCCTCCAAATAGGCAGCTGCCTCCTACTTTAAGGGCAGCAGAAAATACTGAGGAAGAATATCTATACCACACCCTACTGGAGACAGATACAGTTACTAGAACTCCAGTAATCAAGGCCTTTTCAGGCATCATGAAAGCAGAACCTCACTCTTCAGCCTCTTAAAGAGGGGCAGGATTGGGTACATTACTACTCTGAATTCCAGGCTAGGAAGAGAGAATGCAGACCTGCAAGACAAGTTCACAACAGTGCTCAAGATTAAGAGAATAAGAGGTTAAACAACCACCAAGAACATAGGTGGGCAAGTCAGGCATACCTCTGCTTTCTTCTGCACTGCTGCTCCCTTCCCAGTCTGTCTGAAGCAGATCAGAAATCAGTTCAGACTCAGACAAGTAGTAAGTCCCAGTCAGCACGTATTTATTCTCTACCAGGTTAGCCACCAAGGTGGGGTCAAAGCCCATCTGCAGGACATTCTGCACTATGAAAAACTGATCCAGAGCAGAAAGAGACTGCAATTCCCAATTCCTCACCGGATCTGTAAAGCAGTGAGCAGATACTTCACCAAAAAGAGGAAAAGCTTTTGGGCAACAAAATATGCCACTCCCTGAAACTGTTATACATAAAGTAGCAGTAACAGCCATGTAGTATATTCAAAAATCTATATATAAAAATATATATCAATATCCATATTTACAGTTTGTTGTGACTTTTTTGTGAATTGTGATCAGAAACTGCAAACAATTTCATAGAAGGCAGAAGATTTTAAGTTTCCCATGTTTCATTCTGCAGTGTCAGTGGACCAAGTCTTCCAGGCTTGTCACCAGTCCAGAATCTTTGTTTTCACATCCCAGAAAAAGAAGGCTCAAAACTGCTTTCAGGGAGATCAAGAGGAACATCCCAGCTGAAGCCTTTCTCACTTCTTCATCTAGCTCACCCACTCATAAGTAAAGACAGAAGTGGGAAATTCAGCTGGCAATCCATTCAAAGGTTTAAGGTTTTCTTAAACTGGCTATATATGAGAGGTGAACGAAGGTGCTGCAACTCTAAGTCAACGAGGCAGATCAGCTTCCCACAATTTCAGAAACCAGATTTTACCTACTGCAGTTTCCAGGAGCAGCCAATGAATGGGAATAGATCCCCAGGATCAACACTTTCATGAACAGCTGGACCCTCTAGCTATTCCCAGGTCTTATACCAAATATGTTTCAAATGCTGTAGTCCGACAAAGACTCTTCAAACAAAACCACCGTAAACGTGGACAAATCAAAGGAAGTTTAGATTAAAAAGACAAAAAACTTCTGTGTGTTTAAGACTAAAGACATTTAGGTAGTCTGGATATATATAGATGCAAAAAGATCTCACAAGAGCAAGCACTTTTGCTTCTTGTGCTAGAATAGACTTCCTAAAAATAATGCAAAACAGCTTCTAGAACATCAAAATATCTCACAAACACCAAGTCTACATAGTGCACAGAAGCTGAGGTGGGGGGGGGGCCTAAGAAAAAACTACAACACTTTCAACAGAAAGCAAAACACCATGAAATTACACAGCACCAACCTTGGGAAGCAGAAGAATCTTGGTGAGCCTGGTGCCAAGAGTCTCTCTGAAAATGTCACAAGATAGTCACATAAGAGAAGCACGTGTTCAAAACTCCATCTTCCAAACTCCCACCCGCTATATAAAAAAAAAATGACTCACTGGAGATACCAGAGTGCTGAAAAAGGACTCCTGAACACCGCTAACAAATTCTCTTCCCCTTGATTGCAACAAAAATTCACATCTATGAGCAGAAAGATTTAAAAATGTTAGTACAGGATCTCTTCAAGTGAAAGCAGTAGTAGTGGTTTGAAGTTTAGGAGGAATGGGCGCTCTTAAGGTACAGGCAAACTGCTGTATTTGGGGTAAGGAAGAAGGATTATGGTCTTCCTGTCCATCCTTGTATAAGGAAGGACAATTTCAAGAAGCTCATGGTCTCCCTTAATTCAGGGTTCATGTTTGGCCTCTGAGATTAGGTCAGTTGCAACATCCTATGGAACAGCGCACAGAAAACACGATAATAAACCAGTTCACAGTATCTTTCTTTTTGTACCTGAGAAGAGTAGGAACCCAGGTTGTCCTTTGATGTCAAAGACAGTGATAAGAATTGACACTGTAGATAGCAAACTCTAGATCAAGTCAAAAAAGCTCAGGTCTGAACTGTACCATTCCATCTCAGCCTGAAGGTTTGCTCTTACTTCTAAAGAGCGCGTCTAAGTGTGTAGACTTTGTTACTTCTGTTCATATAGATCTTTTTAAAAGCTAGTTACAGTTTAGATAACCATCACCAAGCAGGTTTCATCATTAACACAGAAGACTGCGATGGTTAACAAATCAACCTCGCGATGAAAAAAAATGCGGCCTAAGGAACTGAAACGGACTGAAGTCAGTGACTTATTGTAATAGATACCATATGTTAGAGAGACTGCAAACACATATAAATCACTTTTTCCAGGGTGCGGAGGGGGTGGGAAGGGGTGCAAGAAGGAGATGATGATTAGGTTTGCCAGGAGGCCTTTTGAGCCGACTATTGATTCTCCCACTTGTTAGAGGAGAGTGGGAGGTGGATGCTTTTGGAAGACTACACAAACTAAAGACAGACCTATAAACAAGTTCTTCATCTTTACCCACTGCTAGGATTTAAAGATTTTTTCTTCATGTGCAACTCTGACCTCAGGTACTTAGAGCCTTTCTCTTGAGATTTCAGAGCACGTCAGAAGGTTACAGACTATAGCAGTTTATGAAGTTAAACAAGACTGAACATATCTGACTAGCTGGTCACCTAGTTCTAAATTTTTCTACTTAGCTGGAACTACGCTAATAACAGAGCCTGCAGGTAACACCTACTATTACTAGTACACTTGTGATTCACTTGTCTCTCAACTGGTGGAGCTCCCATCTCGTGAAGCAAGGATCCACACAGTGTGGAACACGTGAACTATCTTTTGGCCTTGCTACAAGGGACATTTGTCAGCCAGGACCAAGTTACCTTGGATACCATTTTGCATGTTCTCTCCAAGGGTCATCTCCAAACTCCCAGTTCCTCACACTTCCATCACAGTAAAAACACCTCACCATATCGCCTCGTCCTGAAAAAGGAAACAGGCATCAAGAAACAATTTGACATCTGAGACACTATATGCTATACTGGCCCAGGATCAGAAGCTGGGGAAGAGATTCAGTACAAAACATAGGCCACAGACAGAATAGACGAGCACATGACAATTTACCAAAGTTATTCAGGGGCAGGGAATCAGATGAGAGGGCTGAACTCTGAGCTGTAGCTGCAGCTAGTTGAGATTATTCCAGAACTGGGTCACAAGTGGCATGCATGTCAGCATCATAGCTTTCACATATGCACATTCCTATCCAATCCCCTCTTACCTGTATTTAGAGTAGAGAAGTAGTACAAACAGTTTGTTTCTTGCACCACAAGCTACTCCTCAGGGTAATCAGTTCCTGGTGCAGTCAGACAACCTATGCTGCTTCTGTTTCATAGGTATAAAGAATTTGTCATAACATGGTCCCAAGCTATCCAGCCTGCTATTGTGCTTATCTTCCCAAGCAGAGGAGGGGGGGAAAAAAAAAAAAAACAACAACAAAAAAACCCACACACACCACACCCAAGCACAGGCAAGAACTGTGCTCGACACCTACTGCTCAAAAGGAGAAGAGGGCAATTCAATTTTACTTCAGTGACAAGAACGCAAGGCATTCAGGATAGGTTTGCTCCTGAGAAGACTTTAGTTTTATGGACCCTGCCCGTCACTTTATTCCATGTCTCAGTTTATTTATGTGTAAATATAAAACCCAATAAATTCCTTCCTCACATGGAAGAAGTCCCATTTGTATTCCACAGAGAAATAGCACTAGAGTATTGGCTCCAAAATACAGAAGAAACCTCTCTCCACCAATAGTTAATCAGAGTTAGGAATGAATATACTGTAAATACTTGCTCTGACTGCTCAGTCCAGTAAACAGTATTTACTCAAATCTACTACCTAACTAGCAAAGTCTTCAAGGGGAAGCAACTGAAATTCAACTAAACAAGAAATACCATTCTGAGAGAATATGCAATATCTTTTAGTTCCGTAACACAAGTCTAGAATCCTTACAGCAACAAGAAGCCAGAATGAAGGCCGAGTATCTACAGGTTTACCTCAGCTTTATGTGAGTTTTTGAGAAGAGAAGGCTGCAGTGCATGACACAAAGCTTATATAAACCGTCACATATCAAGCAAGTCCTTCTAAAAGTGCTAGTAGTCAAGTTTTTTTGTATCAAACTGTACACTCTTCTGCCAGTAAAACATCCATTAAGAACGTGTCGCTTTTTCTGTTCCTGCTGGGAATGACAAGGAAGACCTACTAACAGACCCCTCAGTGCCCAAACAGGAGTTAAGCATGGAACTAAATTCTGCCCAACACAGTAAGTGCAACCGCACAGGCTGAAGAAAGGAACTGGTTTCTAACCACACTCCAAGTGCTTGCAACTATTCAGACAAGCAGTAGCATTAAGACATAGTGACATCTTCAAAAATTAACTTGAAGATGAGTTTAAAATTTAGCAGCTTTCAAAGTAACATCCCAGATGACAAGCATCCTAAATTCACTAGGCTTCTTTTCACGTCTAGAGGTTACAAGCCGTTCTAACATGCTGTACTAATTCATACCACCAGAAGAGAGCCAGAAAAGCTTCCACACCCGAAAGCTTGAAAATGCTCAATATAAAGCCACAAGCAGCATCTAAGGAAGCAACACCAAAAGCCAGGCATGCATTTTTAAAAAAAACACTCCAAGTAATAGCTGAAGAAGCCATTTGAAGATGCCATTGCATCACAAGTAATTATATGCCCTTATCACGGATGAAGATACTATGATGACAGCAAGATAGAAAATAAAGCTGCTTTACAAGAGACCGCATTTACTCTGTTGAAACCCTCAAGTAAGCACACCTTTCTCTGTACGTTGGGTCCACCTGCAATATCAACAAGACATTCATACTGCACTATAGCAAGTTTATCCAGATACTAAATCACTCAGTTGCCAGACCCCGCATGGATTTCACTGTTTGTCATTCAGAATGGCCTAGCTGAGCAAGATTTGCATCAAGCTGAGTCAAATCCTCTCTGAGTTCTGCCTAAGGGCTAACACTTCTTCCCAGTGCTTGGTGCACTAAAAGAAGATTTGGCTAGGGATTCCCAAACAGGGATATACACACACACACACACACAGTTTTACAGTGTTACACAGACAGAGGGAGATTTTCCCCAGTGTACCCACCTGTGTAAAAGAATCCTGCTCTAGCCAGTTGCTCAGGATGCACCTCCGTATATTGTGGCCAGCTCTGAAAAGTAGATAGTCTCATCTCCTCTGTTCCCATCTCTGGATATTCCGGTTGATTGGGAAGGGCTATGTCCTCACTGTCTATCCTCTGCAAGAGACTGAGGAGCTGCCCATCCACACAGTCAAATATTTCCTCAAGAGGAAACACCTGTTGGCTCCCAATATCCTCACCACAAATGAATTTACAGGAAGGGAAGAACTTCAGGTGCTCTACTACAGGGCAATCACCAGGTGCCCAATCCTTCAGGATGCCACCACAGCAGAAGCACTGCACTTCATCTCCAGGACCCACAAAGAAAAAACCAGCCTTGGCCAAATCGTGGGCAGACACAGGTGAGCTATCTGGCCATTGCCAAAAAGTTCTCAGTCTTCTTGCTTCATTCCTCATGATGAATTTGAACAGCTGGCAACGAGCTGTCCTGAGCAGAGTCTCCTGCGGTGGGACCGCGTCCCCCATGGCCCTGTTCTGAAAGAGAGAATTAGAGGATCCAGAGCAGTCAGCTGGATTCCTGATGTCAGGCAGCATCAGGCTGCCAGCCCGCCTCATGCGTTTTACCCTCCCACAGCTCATCCCGATGCACGTTCTGGAAAGCTCATGGTCTCGACAAAGCCACGCTTGTTCCCGAACTGCGGTTCAATCAGAGACCGAGTGTTTCAATGCTTTGCTGCTTTCCCCTGAACTTTTGCTGAATCCTCACTGGGGTCCAGAGGGAAAAGACTAGCACTTTCTGCCCCCCCGCCCCCCCAATCAATTTACAGGAGAGGTGCTTGCAGGAACAGATGGCAGGGGGGAGGGCAAACCTGCTGCCTCTCTGGCTAAACCGATTCAGCCTTCAAACTGTATGACAAACGCTCAGTCATTTGCTCAAGCCTTTAAACTAACGTTAAAGGGGCTCTGAACTTTTTTTGCCCTTTCTAAACAGCACATTTGAGAAGTCATAATAAAGTAGAGAACAGCCAAACTAAAGCAAACATTGTCTCATAACATCTAGCTTATAGCCAAACACTATCCAGAATAGTGATGGAAAATCCATCACTTTATTATGCTAATTAAATACTGCATATACAGGAATAGCTCTGTAATAGGAGATCTTCTGCAGGAAACAGTCTAGAAATAGTTATACTCAGTTTCTAGAGGGATGTTTTCTTAAATTAAACAGACAGATAAGACATTTTCTGCCTGTGCTAGCTCTGTGTGAGAGGAATAAAACTAAGGAGTTACAGAATCCCTGACCATCTAAGCCCTCATCCTACTTACCTAAGATAGTAGCATCTTCCCCTATACCAGTAAGCTGAATTGCAAGTCAGCTGCTCCTTCCAATGCTTTCTATACGACCAACAAATAGACTTTCAAAGGTCATACAATCACACAACTGAGAATCAAGACCAATTTAACTAATACCTAAGGAATTCCACTGAAGTCACGTCACTACACACATGAACAAGCATCAGGTACAGTCAAACTCACTTTCTAAATAAGTGCTCTGACAATCCCTTCACCACCTAACTCAATAGGTGGCTTCATCCCAGGGAAAGGCAGACTATACTGGTTATCAGAGCCAAGCGTTATGAGCAGGCAGATTCAATACATCACATAGGCATATATTAAATGAGGAAAAATAAATGGAGATAGACATTTATATATCCCCCCCAAGACCCAGCATTATAAAGCTGGTATACAAATAAAATAGTTAAGGTGGTAACTATTTCACTACATTCTTTCTTTTTTGAATTGATATAGTAAAAATAAATAAATAAGCAAGCAGATGAGAACTGTACAACATTTAGCCTGTGGTAGACACAGTCGCATGCAACTGTTGAGAGGAACTTGGCTACCAGCATCTCTGAAGGACTATTCCCCCTAGATAAAGCACTGCAGCACGCTTCACGGAGAAAGCGGCAGGATGTTTTAGTTGCAAAACCTGTAGGCAAGGCTGATAAATCCATCCTTCACAGGCATTCCATGTTTACTGATATTTTAAAAGCAAAATATAGCTTGCTCAGCCAAATGCCTCTCACAGTAAAAGGAAGCAAGAAAGAAAAAATGTGTTAGCAAGTAGAATTTTCTTCTATAACCACAATCACAGCAACCAGAGTTGTAAGGACAAAAGGCTCCAAATGTTCATTTTAGGAACTGTGTTTTTACTTATACTGAAGCAGTTACTCAAGAACTATGCTTCTGGTATAAAGAGAAATCTACACAGAAAGAATAGGAACAAAAAAACCCCACCCTGTTACTCACTGAAATGCAGCAGAATTTGCAGACTAAGCAAACTTAAAAGCATGCAGGGCTTCAAGCCTGCGCAGCTGATTTTGCTCTCAGAACTCAGATGACAGAGAGACTTGCTCAACTGAGGAAGTTTTATAACATCAGTTTTGCTCTGATCTTGGGCTCTGTCAAAGCTAAAGCTATTATAACCATCAAACTACAAAAAGTATTGCTTTCCACCTAGGAGACAAGGAACAGTTATCATGGGGTGTTTCTTCTTAGGGAGTACAGAGTAGAACAAACTTCACAGCCAGAGAAGAGGAAGGAAAATGAGTCATCTTACCCAAAACTCAACAGCTGAACCAAGGCTTTTAAGTAAGAGGTGTGACATAAAAGAAGCCCACTATGGTTTACCTGTGCTAGAGACATTTATATACATTCTGCAGGAAATCCAGTAATCTTGGTAACAAAATTCCCCAAAACAAATTAGTATTTTAAAAAGCTACAACACAACTAAAAGCCAATACTCTCCCACAATTAAAAAAATTTTAAAAAAAAAAAACTTACCAGTATACACTTATTAAAAAAAAAAAAAAAACCAAAACACACCTTTCAACAGCTAAGGCTCCCACAAGCTGTGAGCTACTTTCTTCTTCTCTAGGCAATACAGAAGCCTTTCTCAGAGGATTAAAAATCCTTACAATACATAAGTGATTCCACCTGGCAGGGAAGCCATTTTTAATACTTAATTTTCCCTGATTGGTTGGCTTTGTGTTGAAATCCTCTAACAGCTCAATGGTCCAAATTTCATCTGCCTAAGCAGGTATCACAATGGAAAGAGTTAATGTTAGTCCTCAAACTTGCTCCAGGAAGTAATTTTTTGAGCAGCTAAAAAACATTAAAGCCTTGTCACATCATTAATATCACACGTATTTTCCAGTCATGACATCTTGATTCCTACCATATATTACTTGCAATCTTCCTATTTTGTTATAGTAGCTTTGCTACTACATCTAGTGGCTGAACAAAGAGGTTTGAAGTTCCTCCTTCTCTTTGCTACAGCATCTCATAAGCATACTCAGCCTTTCCGGTCTGTGTTCTGAGATCTCCTAGGAAAATCATTTTTAGTCCTTTTTACGAGACTTATTTTGAGTTAGTAGCCATAACTTAAACCTAGTATGTTTGTTCTTATGAAGAAACAAAACGTATTTAAACACTTTCAGAGACCTATGGAGAGTAGATGAAACAGAGACAAATGGTAACAGCAGCAGTGAACGTGGCACTGCAGTACTGCTCAAAGACTCCACCCTGGGATGGCCCTTTCACACATTCCAAGTATCAGGAGCATCAGCATGCTCCTGATTTTGCAGATACTAAAGCAATCTTCTGATATGCATTAAGCTGTTTAGAAGCTTGAAAGACTTAGACTATCAAAGGCTCTGTGCCTCCATTTCCCTGTCCCTAAAATAAGGACTATTAAATTTTCTACTTCAGAAGCATGTCCTAAGGATTAATTAAAGCCTTATTCTGATGTACATTAAGATCCCTTTGGACGCTGGCAACATAACGGAGCGCTCAAGCGGATAGGAATTACCTCTATAGCAAATATACACCCACTTTAAGACTGCTTTCCAAAGCCACAGTGAAACAAAGGAACTTTATTGTCAACTGACTCAAATCCAAATATCACTGATGCATTCAGATACTTTGTGGGAGTTGCTTCTGTCTTTCAGAACCACAGCAGACGACGTGGACCTATTCCACGCTGGATAAGCACGAGAGCCTTGGGAACACTGATGGCTACTGGAAGTAAAATGGTTCTTAGTAGAACTATTTTTTCTCTGAACTGTTAATGTTTCGTGTGACCGTGATTTTCTCTTTATTTTCTACTGATAAAATAACAGAGATGAACATAATCCTATTCTAAAAGGAGACCGCTCAGCCATAAGGTACAACCGTATTAACTATGCTGGAGCATGCATCAGATGAGACCGTAACAGTTCCCTATAAAGATACTGACAGTTCTCTTAGCCCTTTCGGTGATTCTGTGACTGTATAATAATCTATAACTATATATTTTTCATCTTGCTCTCATGCATATGTTTTGCACTTAATTTTCAGGAAAATGTACTTTAAAGTTAACAGACAACAGCAACAAGAATTTACTCATTACCGCTTTAATGGCTTACATGAGCTTTACCTCAGCAAAAGACAGCAGCGCTTTTGCTTCCACTGCATCTCTGAAATTTGAAGTCTTTCTTTGTTGTCCTGTGGTCTTAATTGAGAATGAATGATTTTAAGGTGAGTTTTGAAAGGTACAATTATTCGTAAATGTGTCTTTTTCCACTGCTTTTCTGTTTGAGAAGATAAATGTAACTACTTATTCTACACTATGTGCTTGACAAAACATAAACTATCCAAGTTAATACAGGTGTTTCACACTTGTAAAAAACAAACCGATCTTTGTGTCTTTTAAGAAAAAAAGAGCTGTAAGCCTTTTTGTTACAGGTAAACCTATACAAACATTTTAATTAAAAAGACTGGTGTTTATACTTTCTCTTTTTTATTTATTTTTAACTAAATATGTTTTAATGAAAAACTTATGAGCAGTAGGGGGCAGTGCTTATTTGCAAAGTTTACAGAATTTTTAACATGTGAATTTGGTTCTTTTTTACTTTTTCATAATGAATTTATATGCAATTCCACATGATCTGCTACTCCACATATCCTGTTCTTTGTAAGTCTATATGGATTTTGAAGAACATATCCTAAAAATATATAACAGACAGTTAACAAAATCTCTTTTACAGAGGCAGTTTGGGAACTCTGTTGATGGGTTATAGGAAAGAACCTGTTAATAGATAAGAAGGATAGCTACGGTCATATGAAGCATTTTACAGGCAACCACCTTGCTTTTAAAATGTGATCTCAGGAGCAGTTGGGAACACAGCATACTCCTTGATCTGCCGATCTCACGTTCATACCTCGGCCTCATAGGCAGTCAGCAAGCAGCTTCTGGGATGCTTTCATGCAACACACAAACAATCTGTCCGCAGCACAGGGCAGCACTGACAGAGTGTTGTTTGTGTTAAAGGTGTATTGAATTGCCAAACCTGTATAACACTGCTTGTTGCAGAGGAGAGCCTCCAGGATGCCTGGTGCTCTGGTTCCACCATCACATTACGCCATGGGCAAATCTGCTTTTGAGAGTACCTGAAGGAAACCTCTCAAAATACAGCCTTTACCCCCATTTTAAAGACAGTGATGTTGAACACAGGGTAACTAAGTAACTTACCAAGTTTATGAGGTATCTTGGGTAGTGCCAAGAACAAGCCTTCCTCTTTTCTAAATCCTCACTTCCCCATCCACCAAGCCTGTTAAAGAGCAAAAAGCTGTATAAAACCTCAGAGGAGCCAAAAAGTTGCTTCTAGGTTAAGGCCCTAAAGCGGAGAAGTCTTTCCCGAGAAAACTGGCTAAAGGAGAATCTCCTTAACCTATTTTAACTACTACTGTTTCCCCAGAGCAAACCTGCTAGTCTAATCCCACACTGCAGTAAAATCTCACTAAGATTACATTATTGTTATGAAACAGATAATACTAACACTACTGAAACTGCTCAGACAGAACAGGAGTTAGAGTACTCTAACATGCCAACAAAGGTATACAGTCCCGTTCGTATTTATTCTGTTGACATTTGACCTCCAATTTGTGACATTTGGCTGATTCTGGCACTATTACATACCATCCTTTTAACTTCATGCAAACTTCAAGACCGGTTTGCTATTTTCTGTGAGGAGACCCTCATGTAAGATTTTGGGGGGAATCACTTCATAAACAAAGGAGAGTTCAGAAGAATCAGTGAGACAACTGTAGCAGGAGAACATGAAGTAACATCAAGTCTGTTGCAGACAGAAACTAAAAATAAGCCAGCACGCTCAAGAAGAAATGATGGGGTTTATTTTAGCAGGCTAACAATGTTTGACAGCATTTAATGTATTAGGTAACGTGTTGTATGCAACTAATAATGTCTTGTATTATAATTATGTATTCATGTTAAAATTTATTTCTATTCTTTTTTAGCAATTTCTTTCATTTCCTTTTTAGAGAACAAAATGTCCTACTGAACTTGTGAACACTTGTTAAACCAAAGAGAGTAATAAGCTAAAGAAAAAAAAAGAATCAGTAAGCATCAAGAGTACAGGTGTCCAGGATAGATCAGCAATAAATGCATTGCTGAGCTCGTTCCAGGGCCAACTGGAAACCAGTGCTAGCCAGTGACTTGAAAGTCTAAGAAGAAAGGAATACAAACATAATTAATTGAAAATAGTTAAAATGTTAATATTGCCCTGATTTGAAAGGAAAGTATTCAATAAATACAAGGGCCAGACAGCATGATGAATAGCTCAAAAGAGCTGAAGTGACTGGAACCTCTGGAAAAACTCCAACGGAGTTCAGCATCTCTAATCTTGAGGCCCTATGCAGCTGTATTCTGACAAAGCTGCTGTTTGGTTTAGCTTAAGGAACACTATTGTGCACTCGTTGATAAATTAAGACCAAATAAGAAACTTCGTGAGGAAAGAGGCTTTTGTAATAGAAAAAAAAAAATCGCGTCAGTTGGTATTATCCATGAAGCAAAGAGGCTGGGAACAGGAATACAAGTGCCATAGCTTGCCACTGCAACTGATGTGTAAGGGGGCTCGATACTGAGGAATTTTATAGCAAAATTCCTGTTTCTGTTTGCTCAGAACCACCCTAAACTTCTACAAGACAACACGGATCCATTTTTGAGAAGAAAACAGGATTTGGTTCAGACTTGGTTGTGTAACTGCTTGCCAGGCTGAGGCAGAAGAGGTAGCATCATCCAATTTGTTGCCACAGAAGTAGGCAACTGCTTCTGTGACTCCATTTATGGCCTTGCTTTTCTTCTTCTGGATGCCTCTTCCTTGTCTGTTGTCCTTGAGCTCCCTTCACACTGAATGGCCAGCTGGTATCATCCTGCAGCAAAACACTCACGCTCTGCTGCTCCCCTAAGAGCTGCTGGCACTGTATTTCCTGCATCGATAAAATCTTCTATGGTGCCTGTCTGTTCAGCTCCAATTTGAGCCTTCCAATGCAGCACTGAGGGACCAAAGAACATTGCTGCCTGTTGACACAAAACTCCAAGGCATTCATAAAATAACTCCACTGTGGACAGGAAGCATGATCTAACCCAGTGAGTAATGACAAAGCACATCAAAAAGTGACTGGTCGCACCAGAGAGAAACACAAAGTCATTCCCCTAGGGCAAAGCTTAAATGTTCATTCAGCTCAAGGCTTTTTTTTTTTTTTAAACCATAACAAGTACTACTATACATCTAAAGTGCTCTCTTCTCTGCTTGCCAAGGTTTCCCTTGCTGCACTTTCCACCTGATGATTATTTTAAATTCCTTTCCTGAATTTTTTACATGATAATGAAAACCAAATTCAACACAGTTACAAAAAAATTTAACAAAATTTAACGAAACAAATTTAAGACATTACTAACTAATAATAAAAGATTTGTCCCTCCAAAGATTAACAAGCTAATGCTTGGAAGCCTGAAAAACGATGCTATAAAGTGAATACACATACCACGAATATATACTACCAGAACTAATACACAGGTGAGTAAATAAACTTATGATTTAAGTGATTTCCTAAGGATTACACCCTTCCAACCTCCTCCCTTAACTCTTTCCTATGGCCTCTACTACCATAGAATCTGATTGCCTCAAAACATTATGTATTTTAACAGTGGGGAATAGCTAAAAATGTAACTTGCAACACCATGAGAGCGCTTAGAATCAAATACTACTAATATACTAGCTCACAGGAGCAGAGCACAGTAGAGATCAAAAGAAAAATCTGCAAAGTACAGCAGATATTCAAACAGCCAATAGAAGAATTGGCCTTAAAATCCTACTGTGTTTTGAAAGAAAAGCAAACTAGCATGCTAGTTCCTTGGAATAAGGAAAAGCAAAGCGTTTCTCACGTGTCATTACTACGTTTTATTCTCAGTTTCACAACTTTCTGAGTTTGGGGTTCAGCCTACTAAAAAAAAATTCTTTGTAAGGTATAGTGGATTTAAAAACTGTGTTTACTAGGTTTTCAAAAGGTAACAACCAGAATTTTTGTAGAAAGCATTTTATTTCTCTACATGGCTTCTGAAGCTCAAAAATTTGGCAGCTTCACTTTCAAAGATATTTTTCTCTTTATTTCTTTTTCTACCGTGTCTTCTTTTTGCCAGTGAATACAAACATTAGGAAAAAAGGAGAAAAAAAAAAAGCACACAAACAAAACCAACTCATTGTATACTTTATTTTTGTTCCCCCCAAAATTCTGAATGCCTAAAAAAGAAGAATCCCTGAAAAATTTCAGTACTGCCCCAAATTTAATGAATTATTGCTCTGCTGAGTGGCAGCAAAGTGTGAGAGTTGTAGAAACTTCCACAGTCAAAAAAGTTAGGAGATTAAGAATACAGTTTAGTTTAAGGAGAGAAATGAACAGCTACGAGCAATTCTCACAGTTAACATTGAAGTATGAAAAATATTCCCTTTCTGCCTCCCTTTCAGAGTAGAATCTGGCTGACTTTCCCAAAGATCAGTCATACCTTCTTTACTCCTGCCTCTCCCTCTCACCTCTCCAACCATTTCCTGCTGCACTTCAGCTCCAATGTGGAAGTGTCTTACAGTTGTACTGTATTCCCTCTACCTACTCAAAGCCTGGCAGGAGATACAGGGAACCAAAGATGAGGTAGCTTCATCTAAACTGTGTGGCATTGCTACTCCAGATTGTTCAGGGGAAAAAAAAAAAAAAACCATAATGAAGCTCTTCAGGAAATATTGCTATCAGCTTGTGACTAATATATGTTCCACCATTCCGCCATTAATTACCTTTAAAGAAGGATTTGTCAGGCATTGTTATGAATCTAATGGAGCTCATCCCACTTTTTAATCGGTGGAAAATCAGCCGTCAAGGAACACAGAACATCTAATTTTCCAATTAAATTCTGCCATAGCTTGGAACATGTTTATATTGCACAGAGATGTGCCTAGCTGCCTGAATATTATTTGGATAATAGGCAAAAGGTATATTCCTGAGCTATTTACACTAGCAATCATCTGTTTCTTCTCTTCATGTAAATTCACTCAAATAGGTTGATTTTGTCTACCAGTAACTGATAGCAAGAATGACAAATGAGGAGCATGACAGATCCACCTGAAGGATGCTGCAGAAGTGAAAGATGCTGAAGTGAAAGATGCGTGACCCAATTCTAATAAGTGAGCAAAACCAGATTATCCTTACAATTTAATGGAAACTAGATGATAACAGCAACAAAGAGTTGCCAATGAAGAAGATCAAGAGGAACACTTGGGAGAGCCATGTGGCCAGCCCTCGTTCCGCTGAGCTTCTTGCCACAGCTTTACAATGAGGTTGCCTTGTAAATAACAGCAGGTGTGTGACGGTGATATCATCTGTTCACAGGCCACACTTTGGATACGATTCCTCTTCTCATGTTTTCACAGAAGACCATGCCAGCAACATGAAAACAGAAAAGAATATACTATTTTTGTGTGTGCCTGCCTTTATTTTTCACCTGAAAATGATGGAAATTAAAGCTGAATCTATGCTTCGGTTACATTCCGTAAGGGGACAAGGGGCAACAGAGAAGATTCCAGTATGGTAATGTTTACCCCTCATGCTCGAAGCAGAAAGGGCTGCAGCAAATCCCTGTAAAATCTAAATAACAAAAATGATCTTCTGTAATTTACACATTAACTCTTCCGAGATTTCAGAGCATTAACCAAGCAGGGAAAAGGTATCCTTACTAAAACATAGGTCCATCTTTCACTCAACAAAGCCAAAACTAAACAAAAACCTGTTATACTAAAGGTTACAATGTAACTCTCCAAGAGTAGGCTGGGTTTAGATGAAATGATTCTGTTTAGTTGATATCATTCTGAATATTGCTTGCATCTGTATGGTTTAACATAGACCCTTTTTCCTACTGGTTTTGTTTCTAAAAGATCGTGATTTCTTTATGGATGGGTGGAAGCACTCTTAAAGTTACCAGGAAGAAGAAATAACTCACAATTTCCTAATGCCAAAGAAAAAAATGTTCCTACAAATATGGAGTTAGGGATAGAGTGTGTGTGTGTGGGGGGGTACACAATATATATACACACAAACACACCTTAATATACTCTATATTTGAGTCTAACATAACAGGTACAGTCTAATAGCTATAGTCCCCCATACCTTAGGATTCTGAAGAAAATATAGTTCTAACGTTCTGCCTACACCACAGTCATGGCTAGGATGATTCATAGTCACATAGTTTCTATATCAAGACTACTGAACATATACAATCACATGGACTTCAAAACAGCGCTCATCACCCAAGTACCCTGGACAAACCTTTCCCTCTTCCTTTCAGATAGATGGCCCACTCTCATCTCATGCTGCTTGCTTTCTTCTCACACTGCTTTCTGAAGTTCTGTTCCTCAGGATAGCCTTTCCATCTCATCCAGGGACTCTCAAGAGCACAGACTCGCCAACTCTGTCCATAGCTATACCATATGGCAAACAGAATTAAAATGAAACAAACCAATTATCACTTGCAAACTAAGCTAACGCACAACCTCAAAGTATCTCCAGGTGCTGAGGTTTGATGCTATAACCTTTCTTCCTTACCTCGTGGCGACTGACCAGGAAAACGACAAAAAGAAATTGGACTAAACATTCCAGGGCAGTGGCCCAGTCTGTTGCTATAAATCATGATATTCTATCAGAATGACAAATGCAAACCTCAACAGTTCTTGACCTTCTGAAGACAGGGATGACTCTCTTTCTAATGTAACTAAAGAAAGGATGATTGAATTGTTTTGTATCTTTCAAGATGACTAGAATTTTATACTTTCACCTCTCAAAACCGAACACAGAGATGTTACAAGTAAGACCTTAGAAACTCCGGAACTGCTACCCGTTACGTCAGAGTCTTTCCTAACTTGAGCAGAGTTCTAGCTACTTGCATAACTCAGTAATAAGATATCAACAGATATCAACATCATACAAGTTAGTATTAGGCCCACTTTGGGCATAACCCAAGTGACAAGACAATAGCTCAATTTCATACGATGTATCCTGTTGCTTAGCATGAGAAAAACCATAGGAAAGGCTTCCTGACTGTAACAGAATTGGGGCATAACTTGGATATGCTTCATTCAGCACCCCAAACTATCAAATAAGTTGTTACCTCAAGCAATGACACAACATATTATGCATATGTTGGCAGCCTGATCTTGATTCATTTCCTCATGCGCTCTTATACTGCTCACATCAGGTAACCATAAATTGTGCGCGTTTGTGTCAAGAAACCTGCAAACAAAAGGCACGTCCAAAGGAAAAAAGAGAGTGACCAAACTAAATCTCTGCAGGTATTTTGATAAGAAAAAAAAAAAAAATCAGGTTTCTAGCTAATTTATCGACAGTTATTTCCATTCCTTAAAGAGTCGTCAGACAGCTATGTAGTATGTTAAAACATAATTTCGGTGACATATTATTAATCACTGAAAATTCTTTGCTATAAGTTCTGTTACCGCACCGGTTCCCAAAGACGTCAGAGAAAATTATATTCTACCAATTGCCAATAGTTGCCATTTCTCCCCTAGTACCATTATCGTTCACAAGAGAGGTGTTTTCTTTTGTTCTGGCCTAAGAGCTTCCCAGTCCACCATACTCTATTTGGGCACTGAGTGAGCTACCATTTGCTATATTTACACGGACAGTAAGACCTCTGAGTATTACGACAACATAAACAATAAGAAAGCAGCACAACGCTGATTCCTGTTTCACCATGAAACATTATGATTTAGTCATTTGAACTGAAACAGATATGAAAAAGATTATCATACATATTTTTCCATATTATAACCAGCCATCCAAGAGACTACAAGACCTTGGGAAGGGCAGGGGCTGTCTTTCTGTTCTGTGCAAGGTCTATAAACAGTCCCTTGACCCAGGGACATTAAGCACTACCAAAAAGCTAACAAGAACCATCAACTGTTGTGGTCATTAGATATCCTACCCATTTGAAAATATATATTTTGATATATGCGTGTGTGTGTGTGTGTGTGTGTGTGTAGGAAGAAGCAGAGAAACCGCTGGAACATAAATATTAGAAATAAAAAGGGCATTCCTTTCATCAAATCTGATTTCTCATTATGGAAATGCCAAAGCCTCCCTAAAAAGTACTATCCAGCTATTGATGCCTAACTCGGTATAAGCTAGTGGTGACCATGTGCTTATTCTGTGTGCTTATTCAATAAAGCTTCACGTTCCCACGTCCCCTCGGCAGGGCACGCAGGGGAACGACCAGCCTCCCTGAAAACCACCGGCTGAACCCTTGGCCCCACTGAAGTCAACGCAAGCTCTGGTCGCGGGGCCTCAACTTCACCCAGCCCAGCTGGAAGGAAAACAAGAGTGAATTAACCTGGTAAAAAAACACGGAGAGAGCAGCTGCAGCGAGCAGGTGGTTGGGTACTCTCTGCCCGCGGCGCCCCCCGCCCCTGCGCAAGG